TTTCGTAAAGGTCACCACCACAATCTGCCTGGGAACGCAAGGCCCAGGCAGGCTGGAGGGCGACCAGGAGGCGGCTGAGGCAGTACCAATTCAGCTCATCCTGAAAGGCAGAGGCACAGGAAAAGTAAAAGGAGGGGAGGAGGGAAGGAGGGAAGGGAGGAGAGGGAGGGATGTGTTAGTGTTGATGAGGGAGAGAGTTGAAGAGACCACCACAGCAGTGGCTAAGGAGCAGAGTGGCGAGAGAGGATGAGGGACAGCGGCTGGGGGGATATGATTGGAGGAAGGGGAGGGGATGCTGGGGGTGGACGCGTCAGCAGCACAGCCACGGCGAGACGTGCAGGAACCCAGTTGCCACGGTCAGGCAGCACCAAAGCAGAGCTGCAGCCAGATTGTAACCAGACACAGACAGCACACCAGCAGCACACCAACAGCACACCAGCAGCACACCAACAGCACACCAGCAGCACACCAACAGCACACCAACAGCACACCAGCAGCACACCAGCAGCACACCAACAGCACACCAACAGCACAACAGCAGCACACCAACAGCACCCCAGCAGCACACCAGCAGCACACCAACAGCACACCAACAGCACACCAGCAGCACACCAGCAGCACGCAGGCAGCACACCAGCAGCACACCAACAGCACACCAACAGCACACCAACAGCACACCAGCAGCACACCAGCAGCACGCAGGCAGCACACCAACAGCACACCAGCAGCACACCAACAACACACCAGCAGCACACCAACAGCACACCAACAGCACACCAGCAGCACACCAACAGCACACCAGCAGCACACCAACAGCACGCAGGCAGCACACCAACAGCACACCAGCAGCACGCAGGCAGCAGCACACCAACAGCACGCAGGCAGCACACCAACAGCACGCCAACAGCACACCAGAAGCACACCAACAGCACACCAACAGCACACCAGCAGCACACCAACAGCACACCAGCAGCACACCAACAGCACACCAGCAGCACACCAGCAGCACACCAACAGCACACCAGCAGCACACCAACAGCACACATACAGCACGCCAACAGCACACCAACAGCACACCAGCAGCACACCAACAGCACACCAGCAGCACACCAACAGCACGCAGGCAGCACACCAACAGCACGCAGGCAGCACACCAACAGCACGCAGGCAGCACACCAACAGCACACCAGCAGCACGCAGGCAGCAGCAGACAGCATCACACCAGCAGCACACCAACAGCACGCAGGCAGCAGCAGACAGCAGCACAACAGCAGTACACCAACAGCACACCAGCAGCACACCAACAGCACACCAACAGCACACCAGCAGCACGCCAACAGCACGCCAACAGCACACTAGCAGCACGCAGGCAGCAGCAGCAGCAGGTGGACGGTGTCACTACGAGGAGCAGCGCAGAGAAGCCCGGAGAGCCGCAGTCGCTTAGCCGGGCCAGGTCCGAATGAAGAAAAGTAATAAAATAACTATAAATAAAAACGTTACGAAAGATTGTCAAACATTCACACAGAAGAGCAAAAAAGGGAGGATAAGAGAACAAAATGAAACAAAAATAAGAGCTAAACAAGAGAAAGGAAAGGTGGTAGGCAGGAGAGACGAGACGGCGGCTCATCCTCATCCACCCTGCATCATCATCCAGCCCCCATTACCATCCACCACACTTCATCATTCAACATCAACCACACTTCATCATTTAACATCCACCGCACCTTATCATTCAACATCAACCACACTTCATCATTCAACATCCACCACACTTCGTCATTCAATATCCACCACACTTCATCATTCAACATCCACCACACCTTATCATTCAACATCCACCACACTTCATCATTCAACATCCACCACACTTCATCATTCAACATCCACCACACTTCATCATTCAACATCCACCACACTTCATCATTCAACATCCACCACACTTCATCATTCAACATCCACCACACCTTATCATTCAACATCAACCACACTTCGTCATTCAACATCCACCACACTTCGTCATTCAACATCCACCACACTTCGTCATTCAACATCCACCACACTTCATCATTCAACATCCACCACACCTTATCATTCAACATCAACCACACTTCATCATTCAACATCCACCACACTTCATCATTCAACATCCACCACACTTCGTCATTCAACATCCACCACACTTCATCATTCAACATCCACCACACTTCATCATTCAACATCCACCACACTTCATCATTCAACATCCACCACACTTCATCATTCAACATCCACCACACTTCATCATTCAACATCCACCACACTTCATCATTCAACATCCACCACACTTCATCATTCAACATCCATCACACTTCATCATTCAACATCCACCACACTTCGTCATTCAACATCCACCACACTTCGTCATTCAACATCCACCACACTTCATCATTCACCATCCACCACACTTCATCATCCAACATCCACCACACTTCATCATTCACCATCCACCACACTTCATCATTCAACATCCACCACACTTCATCATTCAACATCCACCACACTTCATCATTCAACATCCACCACACTTCATCATTCAACATCCACCACACTTCGTCATTCAACATCCACCACACTTCATCATTCAACATCCACCACACTTCATCATTCAACATCCACCACACTTCATCATTCAACATCCACCACACTTCATCATCCAACATCCACCACACTTCATCATTCACCATCCACCACACTTCATCATTCAACATCCACCACACTTCGTCATTCAACATCCACCACACTTCGTCATTCAACATCCACCACACTTCATCATTCAACATCCACCACACTTCATCATTCAACATCCACCACACTTCATCATTCAACATCCACCACACTTCATCATCCAACATCCACCACACTTCATCATTCACCATCCACCACACTTCATCATTCAACATCCACCACACTTCGTCATTCAACATCCACCACACTTCGCCATCCAGCCCCCATTACCATCCACCACACATCATCACCCACCACTATTCCTATTGCGACGTTATTAGCCCTGTTTGCTGCTGGGCGTTTGACTTTTGGGGCCTGTGGTCCTGTGCTTAGCCGCTGTGTAAAAGCGAATCTCAGCCGTAGCCCAGACCGCATCGCTGCACCGTGAACACTTCTCCCCTCCCGTTTATCACGCGTCAAGTATTTGCCAGCGGCGGATTTCTTCCATCAACACCACGGCTCCTTTCCACAAAAGCGGCAACTCACTCACTCCGGGTGTATCGCGCGATGTGAGCACAGGGTCCGAGCACGACAGCCACAGGCTCAGTGCCCCGTGGCAAAACCACGCATCGAGAATCAGAGTGGGCCACGAGAGGAGGCCAGGTGAGCTGGTGAACAGCGAGGTGGCCACAGGAAGAGCGGAGTGGCCCACGAGAGAAGACACAACGAGGTGGCCCAGAGAGGAGGGGCGGCCGTGGCTGAGCCTGGCGTGTGGCGGCGGGCAGGGCGGGAGCAGCAGCAGCAGCAGCTGGATCCTGGCCACGCCGCGGAATGCCGCCCGGCCGCATCGCGGCCACACCGCAGCTCAGCCCGGAGAGGCTCCCCGCCAGGCTGAGCTGCCTCGCGGAACCTGACCCGGCTTGTAGGCCGCTCGGGACATGTGCAGAGTAAATACCGACCGTGCGTTAACCCAACAACCACCACCGCAATAACAACAATCACCAACCAGCCCAGCACACGCACGGACTCGGTTATATAATACTGCTGCTGCTGCTGATAGCGGCCGTGACAAGGCGAGCTCTGGCGAGGGCGCTGACCATGATGGTAAAGAAGGGGGCGAACGGGAGTTTGAGAGATTGTGGGAAAGATTCATTCACGTTTTACCGGAGAAAGCCACGCCGAGTCCCAAGACACCTTTTCAGGAGGATCTTGCCTAGTTTGGTTTTTGCAATAAAGAGGCGGTGGCGATGTTGTTGCTGCTGCTGTGCGATCCCAATGTAGTCATTTGCCGGGAATTGTTCATCAATGGGGTGAGGTTTGGGCAACATCAGTCCCACTGTTTGTGTGGGGTGAACCTATTGGAGTAAACTGTAGAACCCAGAGGAAACTCATGCAGACCAGGGGGACAACATACAGACTCCAAAGAGAAAGGCACCCGACTGACCCGAGTCAGGAATCGAACCCAGGGATATCTTGCTGTGAGGCGCGAGTGCCATCACTTCGCCCAGAGACTCGCATGGAGACCCTGACACGGAGAACAGTGGATCTGCCTTGAGTCTCCCACCACCTGGCCTTAGGTCTTCTGGAGACCGCTGCGACGCTTGTCTCGGCAATGGGCCCAACTCCATCATTCCGAGCACACGCGGCAAGCCCAGCGCAACCGTTCACGCCAAATCGTCTCTACGGTCTCATGTTATTTTCCAGGACCGCGACAATGAGAGGGTAAAGTGCCGATGTTCTGCGCGGCTCCCCGAGACGCTTCCGGCACGTGTAGCGAAACGTCGGATATCGTGGCGAACAAACCGCGGCGCGACGCGAGGCACGCGGCTACCCACGTGGCAGGCTCCCACTGCTCACTGCCGCTGCGAGGGGTGGTGCTGAAACACGTTGACATTGACATTTGTGTGCAGCTCGTGAACACAGAGCCGCCGTCCCTGGGGTACGGTGCATCAGGGCGACCATCGAAGCCCCGCGCTTCCATGCCACGCTGTCAGATGTCATACTTCGGGTTTCGTTTGACGGCGGCGGGAGGCCCACGCGGTGGGGTTTGCTCCCGGCCCCGCACCCCGCCCCCTAGGGACGACCCTGGCTGAACATTTTGCATATTGCGTTGACGCGAGAACAGAACTGATGATGTAGAGTGGATGTTGATGCATGGTGGGTGGTGATGTGTGGTGGGTGGTGATGGAGAGTGGATGGTGATATGTGATGCATGGTGGATGGTGATGTGTGGTGGGTGGTGATATGTGATACATGGTGGGTGGTGATGTGTGGTGAAATGACGATGTAGTATATGGAACGTGACCTGAACACTGCGCAGAGAGGGTCGGGAGGTGCTGGTTTGGGATTTTGCACTGCGACAGAGAGAGGAGCACGAGGAGTGGGAGATACCCGCGCGTCAGAGGCGACAACAGCATCCTGGTGCCTGTTGAGGGAAGTGAGTAGTGGTCTGGGGCAGGACGCGTCACGGCTGGACGAGACGATGGATGGCGCGTGGAATGCACAGTCTGTTCTCCTATAATGTGGTAGTTGCCTTCCTGAAGAACACCACGTTGTGTAAACATCGCGTTATAATAACAATTGATTCATCTTGATTTGAAGCGTTCTTGACTGCAGCAATCCATACTCGTTGGTTCTTTCGGTAAAGTCACGTAGGTAGAAAATAAAATAAATCGCGACGTTTCGATCGCAACACAAGCGGTCGTCCTCAGGCGGAAAAATAATCCAGCAGTGGAACTGCTGAACCAGAAGCTTGTGGTACAGACAGATGTGACATTAACTTGCTAATCCCCCTAATCTCCCTGCCTAATCTCTCCCACCAACACAGTGCTAATCTCCCATTAACACTGCTGTTGTGCGCATATGCGGGGACGATACTCTTATGCGGCGACAGAAGCTCATTCATGCTAATCTCTCTGCCTAATCTCTCTCCCTAATCTCCCCCATTAACACAACTGAGGTGCGTGCGTCCGGGGATGGAATTCCTTTCCAGCTCAGACCCCGCTTGCTTGCCCTTCGCCACATATATAACCTCTTGTTGTAACAGCTCTCTCGCTGGTTCAGCAGTTCCACTGCTGGATGATTATTTTTTCCGCCTGAGGACGACCGCTTGTGTTGCGATCGAAACGTCGTGATTTATTATTTGTATTTTATTTTTATACCTACGTGACTTTGCCGAAAGAACCAAAGAGCATTGATTCAATGGGAATTAAGGGGTTAGGGGTAGTAAATTTAGAAAGCACCAACATGACTGACATTTTTCATGATAAGTTGTTATATTATTGTTGATTTTTACGTGTTCTTTAATAATCATTGTGTTTTAGTTTGATAATATAATTTATGAATACGTGAAAATGCCTGAAAAGTGCATGTTACAGTGTTAGTCGCTAAGCGATAGAAAACATAGCCGTGGAGGAGGGTGAAGAGAGAAAACGATTAACGGTGTGAAGTGAAGAGTGCAATGTCGTTCTATTCACTCAATCGCATATATCCAATTCTCATCCATGTTGTACAAATGTGTTCCCGAATACATTCACGGCATTATATCCAAATTCGTGTTATGAAAACACGCGTTATAGCAGAACGGACTGGACATGCACACAAATCCTGAACCGGTGTCGACATTCAGTGTATCGTCAACACTCAGACTTGCTTAAACCAATATCGTACCGTTGACCTGCCCGATGTTCATAGGCAAGGACTCACTCGACTGCTTAAATTGTGCACTCCCAGAAGGCAGGCTCGTGTGGCTAACGGGTTGTGTAAAATCACTTGCATTGTCTCAGTGGAGGGACCGCTATGGGAGGGACGCGAACCGTAAGTGAAGTTATTTTGCTGTTATGACGGAAACACCGTTCTTACAGAGTGGTGGAGCACCGCTGAGCACAATGCGCTACGCACATTCCCAACAGTGGCACGTGACGTTTGACCTCGAGCTCGGACGATTAGTCGATTAATTATCCTCATGGCTTTCACTTTATTCCCCCCCTTCCCCGTTTCTGGCGTGAGTGCAGGAGTTCCACTTTGATCCCCCCCCCGCTCTGCCTCCTCCCTCCCGTCCGCCCGCACGCGCGCCTGGGACGCGTACGGGCACGCGTGGACTCTCCGCTCTTGTATGCGAGCCAAAAACCATGAGCGATCACAGGAGGAGGAGGATGATGATGATGGGCATTATCATTATTTCATTTGTCTCGCGTTCCGAGGCTGTCGGTTACAGCGACTGCAGCGGCCGCGTCGGTGGAAGTAAGAGCGCAGAGTGCACACGTGTGGTGTGGCTGAGCATTCGTGTCGAGCGCCTGGCACTTTTTATGATGTGGCTGTTATTCGTGTGGTGTGCCTAGGACTTCGTGTGGCGCGACTGAAACTTCGTGTGGTGTGGCTGGTTGGCAGCAGGACAGACCGGCCGGTACGTTTAAGAGACCTTCCCCGGGCAGCCCGACACTCCACCCGAAGCACCCGAGGATGCGGAACCTGAGACTGGTCACCTGGTGAGTGAGCGGTGGGGAGATGGAAGATGAGAAAGTGGGAGGTATGAGAAAGATGGAAAGCTGGCAGATGACGAGGGAGACAGGGAGATTAGAGGGGAGAGATGAGAGGGAATGAGGGAGATTGGAGGCCGTAGGAGAGGTGTGAAGGAGGGAGATAATAGGGAAAGAGATAGGTAGATGGAAAATGGGAGGGAGGTGGCAGTCTTGGATAAAAGGAGATGAGAGAGAAGATAGGGAGACGAGTGATCGTGTAGATGGGGGGGGTAGGTGGGAGGGAGACAGGTGGTTAGATGGGTAGGGAGATGGCGATGCAAGAGAGGTGAGAGACAGACATTGTGTGTGATGTAGGTGTACAGAAGTTGGGTTGGTGAACCTGCCTCTGCGGATGGATGGTGGGTTGTCTCCAGTTTAAAACCAAGAGAGCCAAACGTCTCTGCTGTGCAGGACCCTCCTGAAAGATCGTCTTGAGATTCAGCGAACCTTTTTTACACGGTTAGCTCCGTCGACAGCCATTTGTGGAAATGACATAGTCCTATGGCAGGAGGCAGAGATACCAGCCTACCATTTCCGAAGCAAATGCAATTCATGCTGCTTCTCTTGTCCCGTGTTATCGATGCCTTTGTTACATACTGATGGACGGAGCGGTGGTGCAGTGGTTAGCGCACTGCGCTACTCACATAGATACCTATAGATCGTGAGCACCCCCCATGTAGATTCAGCCTTAACTGAGTAGCTGGTGTGGTGTGTAAACATCAGCACTGGGGAGACAAAGGTGGCCAGGCATGGTGTTGATTACCCACCCCCTAGTGCGCTGTTTCGGCCTTTATATGTGTTCGCTAACAGCATTTGCCCCAACAGCCTCTTAAAAAGATACATGGGGCCTTTGATGTTGTTGTGGGGGGTGAGTGGCGAGATGGGGCACGCCGCGGTGGCCAGATGTCAACTACCTCGCCTGGGATGCAGGAGGTCGTGGGTTCGATCCTGAGCCTGACGTCTGTATATTTGGAGGGTGTATGTTCTCCCCGTGATCGCGTAGATTTTTCCCCGGGTCCTCCAGTAATTCCCTCCACATATAGAATCAACATGCGTTTCGAGCATTTGGCTCATACATTTCCACGTGATAAGCCGCTTCATTTGGACTATCATTTGTGGCCAAGTCGCTTCTGAAAAAGAGATGTATAGCACTGTGGGCCTTACCTGGTAAATTATAAAAAGTCAAGTTGCAGTTTAGAGTGTGGTAAGGTTGAGGCTTAAATGAGTGTGAGTCAGGGTTGTGTATGTCTTCATAATAATGCTTTTTGGGTTAGATCGCGTTATTTATATGTCGTAACCCTCCACCATCCGACACGGCCAAACGGTAAAAAATGTGTCACGTTTACAAAGGACAAAATAATTCACTTCTTTAGCCCACCGGTGTGTTGAAGAGTGAATCAACATCATTTAAATTTTGAGTACGACGTTTCGCTGGTAATTACATCCAGCTTCATCGGGCCAGAACGGTGAAGCTCTTCTCTTGCTCCCGGTCTTAAATAGAGCAGCAAGCAGAAGGGTGACGGTATCATTCAATTCATTCTGGTGCAGCGATTCGAGGCGATCTAACCCAAAAAACATTATTATGAATAACATTAGTCGCGAAAGCCTACGTGTTAAACTGGGTGTGTATGTCTGGCGGTCGGGCGCGGTGCAGGCCACCTACCCCCTCGTGCACCGTTCCGGACTTAATAGGTGCTCGCTAACAGCAATTGCCCCAACAGTCTGTTAAGGCTATACGGAAGATATTTGCACCATTTATATCAAATTCCACGGTGGAAACACGAAATGAAGCTTGTGATGGAGGCCCTGTCGGCAAAATAGTTTGTATCTTCTGGCCAAATGCCATTTGGCAAAACAGGGACTGTAGCCCCGCCCCCAACCCTCGAGGTTCCTCCAGAAACAACGAAACCACGACAGCTGGCCACGTGGAATGTTTGAATGCTTGCTGCGAGGAGAGGTTGCAATTCCTCTGTCGGGAGCTGGCCTGGTACCACCGGGGCCTCTGTGGAATACAGGGAGGTCCGGTGGCCGGTTCTGGCTCCAGTCACTATGAGGGTGGAGAGTCCTCCACTCGAGGCAGGAAACTGCCAAACACCGGGAAGTGGCTCTTCTTCTGAGTAACTAGAGGAGACGTGGGAGCCTATAGGCAGTGAGTTTTAGAAAGTTGTGAGTCCCAGGCTACTGTGGGTTTGTCTCCCTATTAGCAGGAGGCGAGGAATGGTGGTGGTGGCTTACGCACCCACAGAAGATGAACATCAGTAGAGGGATGCAGGCAAGGCTGATGAGTCAGATGCCTTTCATGACCTCATGTCCCAGTTTGATTTTCTCTCTCACGGCCAACATCCATGAATATATGAACCTGGTAATGAGCCTCCCCTAGGTCGACTCAGCCAGAAATGAGTAGCTGGCATGATACAAACATCGAGCACTGGGAGGCAAAAGCGGCAGGGCATGGTTGCAGCCACGCCCCCCGTTCGTGTCCCCTGCCAGCCTTCATCAGTGCTCGCTAACAGCACTTGCCCCAGTCTGTTGAGGCTATACGGGAAATCTTTGTCTTGTGTTTCCCCATCCAGTTTGCCGATCGCTCTGCTCCTCGCCATCACTGCTGGAGCCGTGAGTCCGGAGAAACAAACCCCCAACCCCAGCCCCTTGCCCACCACTACATACCCCTTGCCCACCACCACATGGCCAGACAACGCCTTCCCGCTCAGTCATCGGGCATGGATTGCTTGTCTTATTACAATAAACTTCACCTGCGCTGGTCAGTGCGAGACATGCTTGTGGTGGTTGTGGTGTTCACACTATAACACATTTTGGTTATAACGCGGCTCTTTAATTCGGAACGCGCACCGCTATAACGCGGTTTAGACGCACTACTTTCTTCAGCTGCGCAGCCGAGCGGTGTGATCGAGTAGCGGAATGATACAGTAACGCGCCGTCTCACTGCGCGGTGTGTGTAGTCCCCAGGGTCACGCCAAGCTGCTGTCAGTGGCGGCTCCTGCAAAATCTCTCAGGGGGGGCAAATGTCTGGATGATTGATAAGGATAAGGTCCACCCATGCAATGGATAAATTAACAGCTTAAGCATGTAAAGGCAACTTCACTTCTTTAATATTAATGAAAAATAAAGTGACTCTTACAATACATCTTGCTTGTTTCTATACTCACTATTATTACAATCCACTCAGTTTCTTTTATTAAAGATTCCACTAGGTGGCGACAAATAATATTGTTGACTGAAACGTGCTTACGTATGATGACGTAAGCACGTTAGTGCGAGCCCTCCCGGAACCCATAGAGAATGCATTGCAGCGCCCGCCGTTCGAAAAAAAACATATTTGAATGTAAGTCTATGGGAACAATCTGGGCGATTCTCAGCCGGAGTGAAATCGCCCAAAAAGAGGCGGTACTCCACAGAACGTGACATGACGCTGATTGGACTATATCCAGAGGCACAGTAACGGCGAGCGTAACTCTGTGGTTCAATGAAATTGTGAATGTGATTGAAAAAGTCCCTTTCACACTTTGGTGGTGCGTCGCCCAATCGCCCTAATGAAGAAACCACCCCTGGCTGCTGTATCGTCACTTTACTTACAGGGGGAATTGTTTTCGCTTCAGGCGTTTTTTGCTTAACGCGACACTTTCCATGATAGCATTTCCCGCTCTGAACGAGGAATTTTACACCACTGTGATGATTTGAGCCCCGCACTACATTCAAACCAGACTGACCAGCGTGGTGAAGTATGGTCAACAACCCTCCCACACACGGTGTGTTTTATTGGGGAGACCGTGAGTTTATGACCACCACGCATGTGCACACTGCACTGTGAGTATATGGGCTACTCTGAGTCTGTGGGTCTCTGAATCTGCGAGACCCCCGTGTAATCGCTGTGGTTGCGGCTGTTCTCATCTCTGTGTGCGTCTTGTGTGTCTGTGACTGTGGGGGGCTGAGTGTTGTGTACAACGTCTTGTGTGTCTGTGACTGTGGGGGGCTGAGTGCTGTGTACAACGTCTTGTGTGTCTGTGACTGTGGGGGGCTGAGTGGTGTGTACAACGTCTTGTGTGTCTGTGACTCTGTAGGGGCTGAGTGGTGTGTACAACGTCTTGTGTGTCTGTGACTCTGTGGGGGGCTGAGTGTTGTGTACAACGTCTTGTGTGTCTGTGACTCTGTGGGGGGCTGAGTGTTGTGTACAACGTCTTGTGTGTCTGTGACTGTGGGGGGCTGAGTGGGGTGTACAACGTCTTGTGTGTCTGTGACTCTGTGGGGGGCTGAGTGGTGTGTGTGCGTCTTGTGTGTCTGTGACTCTGTGGGGGGCTGAGTGGTGTGTGTGTGTCTTGTGTGTCTGTGACTGTGGGGGGCTGAGTGGTGTGTACAACGTCTTGTGTGTCTGTGACTGTGTGGGGGGCTGAGTGGTGTGTGTGCGTCTTGTGTGTCTGTGACTCTGTGGGGGCTGAGTGGTGTGTACAACGTCTTGTGTGTCTGTGACTCTGTGGGGGGCTGAGTGGTGTGTGTGCGTCTTGTGTGTCTGTGACTCTGTGGGGGGCTGAGTGGTGTGTACAACGTCTTGTGTGTCTGTGACTGTGGGGGGCTGAGTGGTGCGTACAACGTCTTGTGTGTCTGTGACTCTGTGGGGGGCTGAGTGTTGTGTACAACGTCTTGTGTGTCTGTGACTCTGTGGGGGGCTGAGTGGTGTGTACAACGTCTTGTGTGTCTGTGACTCTGTGTGGGGGGCTGAGTGGTGTGTACAACGTCTTGTGTGTCTATGACTCTGTGGAGGCTGAGTGGTGTGTACAACGTCTTGTGTGTATGTGGCTCTGTGGGGGGCTGAGTGGTGTGTGTGTGTCTTGTGTGTCTGTGACTCTGTGGGGGGCTGAGTGGTGTGTGTGCGTCTTGTGTGTCTGTGACTCTGTGGGGGGCTGAGTGGTGTGTGTGCGTCTTGTGTGTCTGACTCTGTGGGGGACTGAGTGGTGTGTACAACGTCTTGTGTGTCTGTGACTGTGGGGGGCTGAGTAGTGTGTACAACGTCTTGTGTGTCTGTGACTCTGTGGGGGGCTGAGTGGTGTGTACAACGTCTTGTGTGTCTGTGACTGTGGGGGGCTGAGTGATGTGTACAACGTCTTGTGTGTCTGTGACTGTGGGGGGGCTGAGTGGTGTGTGTGTGTCTTGTGTGTCTGTGACTCTGTGGGGGGCTGAGTGGTGTGTGTGCGTCTTGTGTGTCTGTGACTCTGTGGGGGGCTGAGTGGTGTGTGTGTGTCTTGTGTGTCTGTGACTCTGTGGGGGGCTGAGTGGTTTGTGTGCGTCTTGTGTGTCTGTGACTCTGTGAGGGGCTGAGTGGTGTGCACAACGGCTTGTGTGTCTGTGACTGTGGGGGGCTGAGTGGTGTGTACAACGTCTTGTGTGTCTGTGACTCTGTGGGGGGCTGAGTGGTGTGTACAACGTCTTGTGTGTCTGTGACTCTGTGGGGGGCTGAGTGGTGTGTGTGTGTCTTGTGTGTCTGTGACTCTGTGTGGGGGGCTGAGTGGTGTGTACAACGTCTTGTGTGTCTGTGACTCTGTGGGGTGCTGAGTGGTGTGTACAACGTCTTGTGTGTCTGTGACTCTGTGGGGGGCTGAGTGGTGTGTACAACGTCTTGTGTGTCTGTGACTCTGTGGGGGGCTGAGTGGTGTGTGTGTGTCTTGTGTGTCTGTGACTCTGTGTGGGGGGCTGAGTGGTGTGTACAACGTCTTGTGTGTCTGTGACTCTGTGGGGGGCTGAGTGGTGTGTACAACGTCTTGTGTGTCTGTGACTGTGGGGGGCTGAGTGGTGTGTACAACGTCTTGTGTGTCTGTGACTCTGTGGGGGGCTGAGTGGTCTGTACAACGTCTTGTGTGTCTGTGACTCTGTGGGGGGCTGAGTGGTGTGTGGTGCTGGCCACCCCCACCCCTTCGTGCGCCGTTTCGGCCTCCATAGGTGCTACTCGGTAACAGCACTTGCCCCAAAAGACTGTTGAAGGCTGTACGGGGGATCTTTGTCTTTGTGTGTGTTTAGCAGCAGCAGCAGCCACCTGATGATCGCTGCCCGTGCCCTCGAGAGGAAGGCACCCGGGTGAGGAGGGGGAGGAGGAGGAGGGAGCCGCTCCCACCCAGGGACCCACCCAGGGACCCAGCCCCACACAGATCTCGATCCAGTCCACGGGACAGGCTCGCCACATCACTCTCACGACGACGCTGATGCATTCGAGATTCTAGACACTGATGCAGCCACCACGCGCCCACCCCCAAAGACGCCACTTGCGACTGCCACTGCTGTCCACACCGCGTGCCACACCAGGGAGATCCGCCACCGGGGGTTGGGGGTAGCCCCCCTCGGCTTGAGATGGGACGGAAGTTGCTTCGAGCTGTAGAGAGAGTCAAGAAAAGGTCTCCCCGTGTAGTTCGCACACAGGCTGCTGCTGAAGCAAGTGCTGCCAGCGGCGATGAAGGCCGGGACGGCACCGACATGAGGCGGTGTTGGAACAGCTTCACGCCCCGGTCGCATTTGTCTCTCTCGCAGTGCTGATGTTTACACGCCGCAGCAGCAGCCACTCGCTTAAGGCGGAGTCTCCCTCGAGTATAACCCAACTCTGTAATACACAACACAGAATACACACTCGCCTCTTGCAGAGGGCAGCTAAACAGACAATAGGCACGTATAAAGATAAAATAATGAATTAAATACTAGCATACGACGTTTCGTGACTTTACCGAAAGAACCAAAGAGTTATTCCTGCAGTGACGAAAGCTCCAAATTAAGTTTAGACAACAGGCACACAACAACAACAACCGCCATTCGCCACTAAGTGGCGGTGACGTCACCACGATGCTTGTGCCAGGCCAAGTGCACCTTGAGGCCACGTGAAGTGTCGAAAGCCCGCTGGCAGGAGGTCACGGGGCAGACCCAGGTGCCACGGGTCGACTGACCGAGATGACCGAGATGACTGGCTGATGCACCACCTGTGCCCCCTACTGTGCCAACTTGCTGTGCTTTAGCCACCCGGCGCTCCGCTCGTTGTTGTGAGCGTCGCTCCTCCGCCCTCCGTTGTTGTTGGAGGGCGACTGCCTCCAACTGCCCAGTAGCGTCCTTCACGAGCCTCCTCCACTGAGGCCGATCTTGACACCGCTGGTACCAGTCATCGGCAAGTCCACTCAGCTCCACGTCCTCCTGTACCACATCACTCCATCTCTTCTCCAGCCCGTGCCGCGCCCGTCTAGCCCCCTCGATCCGGCCGAACAAAAGCTGTTTAGGCATGCGGTGGCTGGGCATGCGGGCTACATGACCCAGCCAACGCAGCCTTGCCTGCCGGAGGAGCTCACTGATGGGACTTTGCCCAGATCTTTCAAGGATTTGTGAGCTCCTCACACAATCCAGCCTGGTTAAACCCAGGATGGATCGTAGGCAGGCCAGCCTAAATGTTTCCAACCGGCGAAGATGCTCCACCAGGGGGGTCCACGTCTCGCACACACACTGACACACACCCACAGCTTACATCATGGAACAACAATCTTCATTGTCCACTAGGTGGCGCGGACGTCATCACTTTGAGGCGAGGTGAAGAAGGGTCGAAGGCTCGCTGGATAGAGCCAGGTGCCATGGGTTGGCTGCTGTGCCAGGCTAGGTGCAGGAGGAGGAGGCCACGAGACAGACCCATGTGCCATGGGTTGACTGAGATGACTGGCAGATGCACCAACTTTGCCCCACATACAAATATAAATATCTCCCTTATAGCCTTAACAGACTGTTGGGGCAAATGCTGTTAGCGAGCACCGATGAAGACTGGCACGGCACACGAGGGGGTGGGTGGCCAGCACCACGCCCAGTCGCCTTTGTCTCCCTAGTGGCGCACCAGTTACTCATTTGAGACTGAAGAGGCCCAGGACCAGTTTAGACAATCGTCACTGATGTTGGGGGAATCGAACTCTGGTCGCCAGGTTCGTAGCACAACATGCAAACCGCTACACTACTGCCCATACACGTGCATACACACACACACACGTGCACACACGCGGCTGAGCCTGTGTCCTGTACCTCCTTCCCCAGGGGGAGCGGGGGTTCCCGGGATCCTCGGGCCCCCCAGGCCCCACCGGCCTAATGGGACCCGCGGGGTCCAGCGGGTTTCCTGGAGAGAGGGGCGACCCAGGCCGCCAAGGTCCAATGGGACCCAAGGGGGACCAGGTTTGTTGCGAGGGGCCTCATGGCTCCGTGTCCCCACATCTAATCCTGTAGCTTGGCCTTGTTTAAAGGGGGGGCGGGTGGTCAGGCAAACCCTCAGGGGGAGGTGGAGAGGAAGACTCAGGCTAGGGGGGGTGCAGCAGGAGCATAAGCCAGCAGGGGGGCAGGGGGGGGCCTTGCCCCCCCCCCTGGTGGTCAAAGCTACGAGTTGGGAAGGCCCCCTTGACAAGCACTATGAGATTTGTTTTCAACAACATTGTAAAAGAACAACGTATTTAAAACGCAGTTTTTGTTTTTATGAAAATGCTTTCATTTACGTTCCACGTAACGTTTGGCTTCACATCTTTGTTTCTACGTTGTAATCACACTGAAACCAGCTAGGTAAGCAGAACCTTTCCTTCCGGGTTGGGGCGAATAGGGAGTGCGACCATGCGAGACAAATCCAATTTTAAAACCCCACCTGACCGATTGCTGCACCTCCCGAGCTGACAATGTCGTTACCACGCCACTGGGGTGCAGTGGTGACACTCGCGCCTCGCAGCGAGAAGCACCGGTGTTCAATTCCCGACTCGGGTGCCTCTCTGTGGTCGAGTTTGTAGTTCTCTCTCCCCCTGTTCTGCGTGGGTTTCCTCCTTCCATAGCTAAATCCACACACACAGTGGAACTGGTGTTGGCCAAAACAGCATCCCAATGTTGAGCAAGCCCTTGCAAGTGACTCATTTGGAATCACACAGCAGCAACAGCAGCAAACATCGCTTCCTGCTGCTAGCAACGCATTTGGCAGGACCCTCCTGAATAGGAGTCTTGAGATTCGATGAGGCTCTGCTGGCTGAACAGTTGCAACGATCGGAGCCAACTTTGCCCCCGGTTACTCCGCACGGCCCGTGATGCTCTTCCTGGGTTAATTCGGCTGCTCTGCGGAGCCGCCACATTGAGAGGCATCGGCACTCCATCTCATGTTCACATCCCCGCACGGCCAATGGTGGAAACTCCACGTTCCTATGACCAGGACGTACGGCGACTGCTGTTGACCTCCCTGCAAAGCTGAGCTCGTTTGGGACGCGGCCTCTGAGTAGGGAAGGTGAGATGTTAACAGTGAGGCCGGGGGCTGTCTGAACTCACTTGCTGAGTGCCGCATCTCTTGCTCCCCTGTGCGCAGGGGTTCCCGGGAGTTCCCGGGTTCATGGGAGGAGATGGAACCCCGGTGAGGAGGTCCACGTAAACTTCATCGCTGTCTCATCATCGTCAGCATCATCAATTTACATCCACATTGCCATCAATACCAACATTACCACCATCATTCATCACCTTCACCAGTGCTGTCATCGCCACTTCACCAACCTCATCTGTATCATCATTACGATCACCACGCATGTGATCCAGCACTGTGGAGGCAGCAGCGAGGGTTTGTGGATCACGCACAGATGGTATGAAACTCCCTTCCCATGGGCATCGAGGAGGAGCCGTACCCTGGCTCGCCAGGAGAAGGCGGTACAGCAAATATGTGGACTCCCCCTGTCCCGTCTTTCCGGGATAGAGCGTTTCCCCCCTTGCATGTGCGGTTTTCACCGGGTGCTCCGCTTTCCTACCACTCATCAATCAGCCACAAACAGAATCAGAATCAGAAACGGGTTTAATCGCCATGTAAGTTCGCACAGACAAGGAATTCACTATGGCTGGACGGTGCATACATTTAACAATTAGGAATCTTAAAAACTTATATAAAAGGTATACACTAACTATACTAACGTCACAAAGTTTAAGTAATACTAAAGGGCTAAAATCTATACAATTATGAATAAGTAGACCTTATAAAATGCGAAGTGTAAAATGTTAATTAGCCGTATTAAACAATCTTAAAATACAAAAATACAAATAAGATTACACGTTGTAAGTATGGAAAGGTGTAATTATGTAGATAAAATGTTATAGTAAGTGTAACAGTCACCTTGACACAGAGAGAGGACGACAGAGGTTGGGGAATTGCTGGCAGTGCCGTCTGCTCACCACGTGGCTGCTACTGCTGCATTCCCACTCATCTGTGGCTCCTCCTGGCGCCTCTGACTCGTCGCCTCTCTTCAAGAGCGAGCCGGCACAGTGCGGCGTCGCATTCTAATTTGACATCACAAGGACGGAGGTGGTGGAGGAGGTGGTGATGGGGAAGGTAATGGATCATGAAGGAGGTGGTGATGGAGGAGGTGGTGATGGGGAAGGTAATGGATCATGAAGGAGGTGGTGATGGAGGAGGTGGTGATGGAGGAGGTGGTGATGGAGGAGGTGGTGATGGAGGAGGTGGTGATGGGGAACGTAATGGATCATGAAGGAGGTGGTGATAGAGGAGGTGGCGATGTGCTCTCTGGCTGCGCAGGGTTTGCCAGGGGAGCTGGGGAAGCGGGGCCCCCCAGGGTCTGGGGGCCCCCGGGGGCCGCGGGGCGAACCCGGCCTGGGCGGGGGGCCTGGGCAACCGGGGCAGCCGGGGTTCCCGGTGAGTCCTCCCACGCCACTCCGCCCCCCCCCCCCAGCCTGTCCATCATATGATACCTGCCCCCCGCTTTCATCACGGTGGCGAGATGTTAACCATCTCGCCCGGTATACAGGAGGTCGTGGATTCAATCCCGACCCTGACGCCTGCGGAATATTTGAAGTTTGCGTGTCTCTCCTCGCGGTCGTGTGGATTTTACTCTGGGTCCTCTGGTTTTTCCCTCAACTTTTAAAATTAATGTGCATTTAGATTATTTGGCTGGTGTAAATGTCTACACGAGAAGACTATTTGGCTGGTATAGATGTCTACGCGATGAGACACTTCGTTGAGCTATCATTTGTAGACCGGTCACTTATGAAAAATAACTAGAAAGCCCAGTGGGCCATACCTGGTATAACCAAACATATTTTTATAGGTTCACCTATCAATCAGATATTCCTCATTGGGGGTCGCTGTCTCTCCCATCCGCAGGGGTTCCCCGGAGCAAAAGGGATCAAAGGGGACACAGCTTCAATCCCGCCGGGTCTGATCGGACCCCCGGTAATGGACCCCAAACCTACCATCCCGAGTCCTTGAATGTCACCTGTGTGTATATGTGTGTGTCACCTGTGTGTGTGACGTGTGTGTGTCGCCTGTGTGTGTGACGTGTGTGTGTGTCGCCTGTGTGTGTGACGTGTGTGTGTCGCCTGTGTGTGTGCGTGTCGCCTGTGTGTGTGTCACCTCTGTGTGTGTGTCACCGGTGTGCATCACCTTTGTGTGTTTGTCACCTGTGTGTGCAATGTGTGTGTATCACCTCTGTGTGTGTGTCACCTATGTGTGTATCGCCTCTGTGTGTGTCACCTGTGTGTGTGTGTATCACCTCTGTGTGTGTGTCACCTGTGTGTGTATCACCTCTGTGTGTTTGTCACCTGTGTGTGTATCACCTCTGTGTGTTTGTCACCTGTGTGTGTGTGTGCGTGTTATTGGATCCCGCAGGGTGATTCTGGATTTCCTGGGCGCGATGGCGAGCAGGTAATGCAGGACAGGGAGCCCCCCACCTACCTGGAGCCCCCCACAGACCATCCCACGTTATCGCATCTCAGCAACAGCATGACCGACAATATTCACTCTCATCGCCTCACTCTCTCGTCAGAGAAACTGTTTTGATACCATCGTCAACGATGTGTGTGCGACCCACGTGGCACAGTGGTTAGCGCACTGCGCTAATATACCTGACGTCCCAGGGTCGATTTCCGGCCACGGCCGAGATCAGCGGCGAGTGAGTGAGTGAGTGGTGCCTAGCACGGTGGGCTACGTACGGCGCGAAAGAAGTTCAACGTACGTAGAGTGTCTTCTCCTATAAACGTGGTAGTTGAAAAGTCGCGTTATAATAAATGGTATAGGGTAAAGCACAGTCTGCGACAACACACGTGCGCAGGCTGAACAAAGACCGAGGTGCGTGGGTGGCATCGAGAGTCATCCAGCAGCATCCGAACGCCTCGTGCGATGCGAAGCCGAGGCAGCCGTAAAGCCGCCTGTTCCTGTAGTTGTGTTCACTCGATCGCGTTACATCCAATTCGCATCCATGTTATAAAAAATGTTTTCCCTTATACATTCATCGCGTTATATCCAATTCGCGTTATGAAAACACGCATTATAGAACAGACTGTACATGGAGCACGAGGGTGACACAGACAGCCACACCAACCCCTCGTGTGCCGTGCCGGCTAGAATAGTTGCTACTTGCTACTGACAGCACCTGCCCCCACAGCCTGTGTGGCCCATGGGTGTGAATGTGTATCGACATGACGTTACAGTATGTACACATGCAATTTTTACTTTTGTACCGTAGATAGCCAACCGTGCTAATCGGATGTGCATAGCTTGTTTACATAGTGTGTGGGGCAGGGGTGCTGTTTGGGATCTTGGAAGAATTAATTCACATCGTGGGCGCAATTTTCGGACTTTTCGGAGCACGCTGGACAGACTTGGAGCCGCCTCACCCACTCTCCACTACCCCCCCACTACCCCCCACTACCCCCCCACTACCCCCCACTACCCCCCCACTACCCCCCCCACTACCCCCCCCCACTACTCCCCCCCCCCCCCACCCTTCTCAACCTCGATGCAGGGCCCGGCCGGGAACTCCGGCCGCCAGGGCCCGCCCGGGACGCCGGGACGCGACGGGCCCCCGGTGAGGGCGCTCCACAACAAACCCCTGTGAACCGATATTGCACAAGCTTTGGGGGCTAACCTAATCGAGGGGGGCAGGGGCGACAGAGGAGTGGAGGTGGTGGCGCCGCAGATGATAAAGCGGGGAAAATATTACAACGCATTCTGTGTGGGGGAGCTGTAGCCCCCAAAGGGGTAGTGGCAATGTGTGGGGGAGCTGTAGCCCCCAGGGGGTAGTGGCAATGTGTGGGGGAGCTGTAGCCCCCAGGGGGTAGTGGCAATGTGTGGGGGAGCTGTAGCCCCCAGGGGGTGGGGAGCTGTAGCCCCCAGGGGGTAGTGGCAATGTGTGGGGGAGCTGTAGCCCCCAGGGGGTAGTGGCAATGTGTGGGGGAGCTGTAGCCCCCAGGGGGTAGTGACGGTGTGTAGAGGAGCTGTCGCCGGAGGGGTAGTGGCACTGTGTAGTGTGCCGGTCTTCAACGCTGGCCCTTGAAGGCAGTATCGGCTACATAGATGTCTGTACACGTGTGTTTACAAGTGTATGTGTGTCTGCCCCCAGGGCTCTGCAGGACGCCCCGGTGCCCCAGGAGACCCGGTGAGTTGGGTCAGACACCCCGGTGGGGTTAGGTGGTGGGTGTGGGCAGTGGAGGTTGGGTTAGCGTTGCTGTGTGTGTGTGGGGGTCGCTGTGGGATGATGGTGATAGTTGATGTTGGCCGTGTCCGTGGTTGTGCAGGGAGACGACGTCCCCGGGCTGAGAGGGGAGCGTGGAGATGCGGTACGGCACACGCACAGACACCGCCTCGTATGTATGTTGAACTTCTTTCGCACTGTACGTAGCCAACTGCTAATTGGAGTTGCGGGGAAAGGACAACAAACTAACAAATTCGTGTTTAATCTAGATTTCAAAGTCAACAGCTCCAGTGGCTTCCTAATATCGGAAAGAAGAGCATTCCGGAAGGGCGCAGAAGCGCATCCAAAAGCACGCGATGCGGCGACCATTCTTTGGCTTTCCAAAAGCCGCTGTGAGGATTACATCAGCAGCAGCTCATCTCGCTGCTGCTGATAGTGATGACGTTGCTACTGATGATGATATTGATGATGACGACGTCGGTCTTGTTGATGACGGTGCCCTCAGGGAGACGTTGGGTTTCCGGGACCCAAAGGCTTCTCTCGGCTGGTGCAGCCTCCACCACAGCCACTCACCAAGGGAGAGAAGGTAACGCACACACACACACACGTGTGTGTGTGCATGCGTGTGTAGTGGGTAGTGTAGCAGTTAACGCGCTGCGCTACGAACTCAGTGACCCGAGTCGATTCCTGCTTACGGCCAACACTAGTGACGAATACCTGAACCAGTCCTGGCCTCCCCTAGGTCGACTCAGCCTCAAATGAGTACCTGGTGGGATGTGTAACATCGCCACCCGGGGAACAAAGGCGGCCGGGCGTGGTGTTAGCCACCCACCCCCTTGTGTGCTGTGCGGGCCTTCAAAGGTGCTCGCTAACAGCACTTGCCCCAACCGTCTGTTCAGGCTACACGGGGGATATTCTTGGGTCTTTCGGTAAAGTCACGTAGGTAGGTTGAAAGAAAATAACAAAAAAAAACAAAAAACTTCGACGTTTCGATCGCGAAACGAGCGGTCGTCTTCAGGAAAAGGGGGTTAGCTTCCAAGGCAAACTGTTTATATAGATTTGAAATGGACGTAGCCCAAATGTCAGCAGCCAATGATAATGTAAGTGGGGGACAGCCAATCCGACGGTGGTTGGTTTTCCACCAATCAAAGGGCTGCCAGGTGAAAATTAGCATGTTAATGAGAGATTAGCATGTTAATGTGAGATTAGCGTGTTAATGGGAGATTAGCATGTTAATGAGAGATTAGCATGTTAATGGGAGTATCGCAGAGCTGCAACCAAGGGGTCGGCGCGCGAAGAGACTGTGTTGGTGTGAACCCTGTGAAAGCGCAAGTTTGAAATGGGTGTAAAGCACAACTAACATCGGAAAGTGGTAGAATGGGGACATCATAGTCAATTATGACTTAAACTGGTTGATAACGTCCTTCCAATGATTGCTCAGTTTGTACCCATCTTCTCGGTTGAAATTGTGTCTATATATATGGATAGCTTCATGAATGAATCTTTGTTGATAGCCAGTGGGCTTGCAAAGTACCTTCGTCTTAGAGAAATCAATTTCATGTGAGCCCACCGCATTAAAACAATTATCAGCCACGGCCAAGTTATTGGTCCTACTGAGTTTCAGATCTGCCGTATGTTCACGAACGCAGTCCGAGACATGTCGCTTAAGTTTCCCCAATGTAACTACTGCCGCAGGCACAGCTTAAATTTCGATTTAAAGCTTTCGTGACTGCAGGGATTCATCTTCTTGGTTCTTTTGGTAAAGTCACGTAGAAGGGAAGTAATAAAATAATAAAAATAAAACATAATAAAATAATTCTCACGACGTTTCGGCTACAACGCAAGCAGCCGTCTTCAGGTGAAGAATGAGACACTGCCAAGCTTGGAGCTTATATATAAGCTGGGTTGGAGGTGGAAGAAGAGCGCCTTAACAAAAGAATGTGCATATCAAGAGGAATATGCTAAATTCCTCTTGATATGCACATTCTTTTGTTAAGTGTCTCATTCTTCACCTGAAGACGGCTGCTTGCGTTGTAGCCGAAACGTCGTGAGAATTATTTTATTATGTTTTATTCTTATTATTTTATTACTTCCCTTCTACGTGACTTTACCGAAAGAACCAAGAAGAAGGCACAGCTTAGTTTGTAGACGCCGGGGTATTGCATATCAGGGATCACATTCTTCACAGATGGGATCAGATCATGAATTTTATGTACTGTGTTAAATCGAACCTGGATCTTGTGTTTGCTCATGATTTTGGAAATCTTTGGCAAGGTGATGGTTTTGATTGGGTCCTCAGATGGTTCTTTCCCAACGTTTGGGGTGATAGCTTTACGGATCGTGTAGTCCGAATATCCATACATCTTGAGAGCCTGGTGTACGTGTTCCAGTTCACTGGCTAGGTGATGACGGTCGGAAAAACATCGAGCTCTATGGTGTAGAGTTTTGATGACAGAATTCTTCTGGGATGGATGGTGGTGGGAGTCTGGTTTTAGATAGGCATCCGTATGGGTGACGTTCTTGTAGACAGTGTCCCATTGAGCCATCTGGTCTCTTTTCGATTAAAATATCCAAGAATGGTAACTTGACATCCTTTTCCACCTCCGTGGTGAATTTCATGGCTGGGTGTATGCAATTGATGTGGTTGAGGAATTGGTTCAGAGCTGGTCGGCCATGTGGCCAGATGACGAACGTGTCATCTATGTATCTCTTCCACAAGGACGGACGTAGAGTGGATGCCTGGATGGTATCTGTCTCAAAATTTTCTATGAAAACATTGGCTACAACTGGAGATAAGGGAGAACCCATTGGGTACCTTCAACTATATGGGGGATCTTTGTGTGTGTGTGTGTGTGCGCACGCATATGCTTGTGTCTGCGTTACCCCACAAGTCTCTGGAGGCTCTACAGGGGATCCTTGCCGTTGTATCTTTTTTGTGTGCTCAGCAGAGAGCCTCATCCTGATGCTGACTCTAAACCTGGCCCTGAACCTAGCCCTGACTCGTAACCCTCATCCTAACCCTAATTCTGACCATAATTCTGACTCTAACCCTGACCCTAACCCTGAGTCTAACCCTTACCCTGACACATCACTCTGTTTGTTCCAGGGTGACCCCGGGGACCCGGCGCGTGGCGGGGAACAGGGTCCACCAGGGCCCAGAGTGAGTGACCCCTCCCCTCTCCACGCAGCGACACCACCGACTCCGGCACCTCGCACACACCTGCCATGCACACCTGGCACGCCCCTGGCACACCCTTGGCACGCCCCTGGCACGCACCTGGCACAGACCTGGCACACCCTTGGCACGTACCTGGCACGCACACCTTGCACACACAGCTGGCACACAGCCGATACAAGCCCTAACACTATACACGCACACACAAGACACACTCGCAGCACATACCACCTCACCTGAAACAATCACACAGAGGCACCCCTCCTCTCCGCCGTCCTCCTCCCTCACCCCGACTCCCGGAGGCGAGGTTCACCTCCCGCCTGGGCATGGCTGCCGTGTCTGTGCCGTGTGCTGCAGGGGCAGTCGGGCTTCTCTGGTGAGCCAGGGGATCCGGGATTTCCGGGGCGGCCGGGGTTCGCTACGGTGAGACGCCCCACCCTCCCCCCACCCTACGCTAACACGCCGCTCAAGGTGGTGCACTGCTCACTCGTTCCTGTGCTGTGTGTGTGCAGGGCGCACCGGGGGCCACCGGCCCAGAGGGGTACCCTGGGAGGAAGGTGAGGAGAGGGTCCCGTGTATCTCTGTGTCTATATTTGCCATGTGTCTCTGTGTCTTTGTGTCTATGCAATTACCCATCCCCCCCCCCCCTTGAGTGGAGGTGATATTATATTTAAAGTAAATACGATTTACGGTTTATGTTTACTGTGCTTGTCTCTGTCTCTGTGTTTGCCATGTGTCTCGGTGTCTCTATCTGTGTGTCCACATGTCTGCAGGGTCAGCCAGGATTCCCGGGGTCACCAGGAAACCCAGGATTTTCGGGGTTAAAGGTCAGAGAATGAATCCCAGCGGCAGCACCACTGAGCCAACATGTGGTGACGCGCGCGCGTGTGTGTGTGTCATTATGTGTGTCATGGAAGTGTTGGGAGTGGTCGTGGAGCAGTTAGCACGTTGCGCTACGAACCTGGTGATCCGAGTTCGAATCCCGCTCGTGGCCAACAGTGACGATTATTTTAACTGGTCCTTGGCCACCTGAGGTCAACTCAGCCTCAAATGAGTATCTTGTGCGGTGTGTAGACATTACCACAAGGGAGACAAAGCTGCTGAGTGTGGTGTTGGCCACCAACCCCTCGTGTGCCCACCTTCGTAGGAGCTACTCGCTAACAGCACTTGTCCGAACAGTCTGTTAAAACTAGACGGGGGATCTTTGTCTTTGTCACTGCCGTGTGTGCGCAGGGTGAACAGGGAGATCGGGGTCTTCCAGGTCCTGAACCGTTCAGTGTGGGGCAGGAAGGTTCGATCCCCTCTCCGTTCCGGATGACACATCGCTCCCCAACACACCCCCTCCACCCCCATGTCTGCAAGTGTTTATTTGTGGTTTGGGCTGATCTCACCCGTGGAGTTGGGGCGGCAGCCGCGTCTGCGTGAATGCAGCGCGGAAGCCACAGTGTCAGCGAGGCTGAACAGGGACGTGAGGCCACTGGGTGGCTCCTCCCCTCCTGCACTCAGCCCCACCCACTGAGCCACTAGCCCCGCCCACTGAGCCGCTAGCCCCGCCCACTGAGCTGCTAGCTTCGCCCACTGAGCCACTAGCCCCGCCCACTGAGCTGCTAGCCCCGCCCACTGAGCTGCTAGCCCCGCCCACTGAGCTGCTAGCCCCGCCCACTGAGCCACTAGCCCCGCCCACTGAGCTGCTAGCCCCGCCCACTGAGCCACTAGCCCCGCCCACTGAGCTGCCAGCGTCGCCCACGTAGCGAGCGAACCTCTACCACGAGGTGTGAACTCCCTCCCCTGTGGCGAGGAGATGTTAACTACCTCACCTGGTATGCAGGTGGTCACAGGTTCGATCTCGACCCTGACACCTGTTGTATATTTAGAGTTTGCATGTCTCTCTCTCCATGGTTGTGGGGATTTTTCTCCAGGTTCTCTGGTTTTTCTCTCTGTATTTAGAAACATGCATTTAGAGTATTTGGCTGCTATACATTTCCACGTGATTAGTCACTTGGTTGAGCTATAATTTGTGGCCAGGTCGCTTCTGAAAAAGAGCTGCATAGCTCAGTGGGCCTCACCTGGTAAAATAAAAAAAGTCGACTCAACCTCAAATGAGTACCTGTTGCGACATGCAAAACATCAGCACTGGGGTAACAAAGATGGCCGGGCGTGGTACTGGGCCCTCCACCCCCTCGGAGGTACTGCTTGCGAAGAGCTCTTGCCCCAACAGCATGTGTGGGCTACACGGGGGATCTTAATCTCTGTTGCGCGTGTGTGTTTTTGTGTGTGCTGGAACCCTGCCAGGCCCTCCCGGAGACACGGGGTCCCCTGGGAACCCCGGCCCGTCCGGTGCCCCCGGGAATAGGGGGACCCCAGGATCTCCCGGTCCTCCCGGCCAGATCATCGGTGGCCCAGGTAAAACGAAACTATAAAGATTAATATTTTTTTTATTTGACCAGGTAAGGCCCACTGAGCTATGCAGCAATTTGTCAGAAGCGACCTGGCCACAAATTATAGCTCAACCAAGTTGCTTTATTGTGTGGACATTTAGAGCAGCCAAATACTCTGAATGCATGTTGATTCTACATGTGAAGGGAGAATCCGGAGGACCCGGAGAAAAATACATTTGACCACGGAGAGAACGAAAATATACAGGCATCAGGGTCAGGATCGAACTCACGACCTGTATATCAGGCGAGGTAGTGAACATATCGCCACCACGTCACCCTGACACATTAGGTGCATGACTCCTACCTCTACTACCACCACCACCACTACGACATCAACTACTGCTACCACCACCACTACTACATCAACAACCACTACTACCACCACCACCACTACATCAACAACTACTACTACCACCACTACTACATCAACAACAACTACTACCACCACCACTACATCAACAATCACTACTACCACCACCACCACTACTACATCAACAACTACTACTACCACCACTACTACTACATCAACAACTACTACTACCACCACTACTACATCAACAACAACTACAACCACCACCACTACTACATCAACAACCACTACTACATCAACAACTACTACCACCACCACCACTACTACATCAACAACTACTACTACCACCACCACTATTACATCAACCACTACTACCACCACTACTACATCAACAACAACTACTACCACCACCACCACTACTACTACATCAACAACTACTACTACAAACCACCACCACTACTACAACAACTACTACCACTATCACCACCACTACGAGATCAACAACCACTACTACCACCACCACCACTACTACATCAACAACAACTACTACCACCACCACTACTACATCAACAACAACTACTACCGCCATCACCACCACTACATCACCAACTACTACCACCACCACTATGACATCAACAATAACTACTACCACCACCACCACTACTACAACAACAACTACTACCACCACCACTACTACTACATCAACAACCACTACAACCACCACCACTACTACATCAAACAACAACTACTACTACCACCACCACTACTACATCAAACAACAACTACTACTACTACATCAACAACAACCACTACTACCACCACCACCACCACTACTACATCAACAACTACTACTACCACCACCACTACTACAACAACAACTACCACCATCACCGCGACAACAACAACTACTACTACTACATCAACAACAACAACTACTACAACGTGTGAACAACAGGGTGGTGGTGGTGCAGTGGTGACACACGTGCCTTCCAGCAAGAAGTCCCTGGGTTTGATTCCCGACTCGGGTGCCTCTCTGCGTGGAGTTTGTCTGTTCTCCCCCTCTTCTGCAGAGTGAGTGTGTGGGGGTGTGAGCGTGAGTGAGTGAGTGTGTGAAGTTATCTATGCCTTCTAAACACTCATTCATGGAGTTAGCCTAACATCAAAATACAGGACGACAGAGCTTGGCCAATTGCCGACTATGGTTTTCCGTGCCTCTAAATCATTCCCTCTCTCCAAAAGTGAGCGCATTACAAGTACCATGAATTAAATTATTATTTAATCAATTAGAATAATTCGAATAAATTGTACTAAAATTGTTGCAAATTATAATTCATTACAATAACATCCACGACAGCCGAAACTACAGAAGCGACCGGGGAATTCGCGATCACGGCCTCCTGCAGAGGTCTTCAGCTCCATTCTTTCTCACTCCCCCCACCCCCTCACGTGTGGTGGGATAAAGTGTGGGTACTCCCACTCCTTAAAAGATGTCTGGCTAGAATGAGAGTGCCCCTGTCGGTTGGCTCTGGAGCCCTCGTAGTGGAGGTCCCTCTGCCAGCAGTGGCGTGAGTGAGCACTTGCAGAGCTGTTCCTTTACCTTTTAATAACAACAACAGCAGCAGCTACACAGGTGAATGGCTATAACTACAGTCACAACGACGACTAGCAACAACAAAAATCGCATTGACGTAGGTGGTGCTGCCTTGTGCCGCATTATATTGCCTTGTGCCATGTTGTGTTGTGCTGCATTGTACCCTGAAATATTGCGTTGTTCCGCGTTGTTCTGTGTTGTTCCGTGTTGTGCTGCGTTGTTCCGTGTTGTGCTGCGTTGTGCCGCGTTGTGCCGCGCCGTGCCACGCCACCGGTAATAACTCTCCGCATCCTGTTTCTCCTCTGTTGCAGCTGAGGATGGTATCCCTGGGTTTCCAGGCACGCGGGGGCCCAAGGGGTACTCCGGGGACCCCGGGGCCCAGGGGCAGGGGTACCCCGGCGTCTCCGGTTGGGATGGAGCACCGGGGCCCCCTGGAGCTAAAGGGGCCAGCGCCGGGCAAGCCGGTGGTGAGCGTGTGGCCGGCACGACAACCGCACGTTGTGGCTGCGTTGTGCCCCCGACATCGTGAGCTGTTCGCTCCGCCCCCGGGCCCTGCTTGGCCCCAAGCCATATTCAAGATGTCTCCTTGCGAGGCTGTCGGCGTGGCATGGTTAAACTAAAAACTAAAACTTTAACTATCTTTCCATATTAATAGGGGTCTTTTGTTGGGTTAGAGCACCTAAATTTAAATGTTAAACCTGCCGACACCCAACGCAGCTGATTAGTAAGATTTTTATTTTACCAGGTAAGGCCCACTGAGCTATAGAAGCCACCTGGCCACAAATGATAGCTCAACAAAGTGGCTTATATTCACCTGGACATGTATTGCAGCCCAATACTCTTTCATCTCGGCAACCACAAAATCCCCTGGAGGAAAACCAGTCGTGCCATGCGGGCCCTGCGCTGGGTCGGCTCAGATTTGGCAGTGGAAAAGGGGCACACACGTGGGAACGGGAGAGAGTGCGACCTCCTCCCAGCACCACGGCGTCCAGATGTTAACTACCTCGCCTGGTATACAGAAGGTCGTTGGTTTGATCCTGATGCCCGTATATTTGGAGGTTGCATGTTTGTTCTCCCCGTAGTCAAGTGGATTTTTCTCCAGGTCCTCGAGTTTTTCCCTCCACATTTAGAATCAACATCATGCATTCAGAGTATTTAGCAGCTATACATTTGTACGTGATAATAAGCCACTTCGTTGAGCTATCATCTGTGGCTAGGTCGCTTCTGAAAAATAACTACATAGCTCAATGGGCCTTACCTGATAAAAAAAAAGAGTTTTTAGTTTAGTTCCTCACCGATGCCTACCGGTCGCAGTGATGGTGCTGGGCAGAAGCACGCGAAGCAAATGGCGTGGGGCCCCAAATGATTAAAGGTACGCCCTGGTCCGAGGGACCCGGACACCATACTGCTTACTAAGAACACTTTACCCAACAGGCTGTGTGGGCTACACGGGTGGGACCTTTGTCTTTGTTGTTGGATCTCGTTGCAGGGGGTGGCGGCGGGTCTCCCGGTCAACCCGGGGTTCCCGGACGAGACGGCCCTCCCGGAACTCGTGGGAGCCCAGGTGAGGGGTCTGTGGTGAGGGTACCATGGTGAGGGTACCATGCTGAGAGCACTATGCTGAGATCACCATGCTGAGAGCTAAACTCGGGCCGATGGCTGGACTCAATGCGGTTTTGTAAAGCCTCACCATTCTCTCACGCAGGCAGCCCCGGGGACTGTGATTGCCGCTCCATTGCCGGGTCCCAGCCCTTCCCCGGCCGCCCTGGAGCCCCCGGCCCTCCCGGCCGCCCGGGGATGTTCGGGGGCCTGGGCCCCAACGGGAGCAGAGGAGACCCGGGGCCCTCCGGCCCCACGGGCCTCAACGGCCTGCCCGTGAGCATCGCCTGGAATGCGGCATGCACGCGTCACGCACGCGTCCAGCGCGCATGTCACACCCACACACACACGTCGGGTGCATCACACCTATACACACGTGTCACGTGAGATCATAAATGCATGTCGAATGCATCACACCCACACGTTGCATGCATCACACACACTTGTCGCATGCATCGCACCCACACGTGACACATGAAAGCAATACATGCGTCACACACGCAGCGCTTGCCAGCTGAAAAGCCTCAGCATCTCACGGCTCCTTTCGTCTCCTGGACTCTACCGTTTGGGTGACGGCTTCTCGTGTTGCAGGGCCATGAGCAACGGCGACAGCTTTCAGAGGCCCTCATCCAGCGGGGGATAGACCATTACTCATGATGATGACGATGATGGTTATCATGGTTATCATTGTGATAACGATGCTAATGATGGTGATGATAACGATGATGGTAATGATGGTGATGATGACGATGATGGTGATGATGGTAATGATGGTGATGATGACGATGATGGTGATGATGACGATGATGGTAATGATGGTGATGATGACGATGATGGTAATGCATTCCAGGGTGCGCCAGGACCCACAGGGCCCCAGGGGGAGAAGGGGGAGCGCGGGGATCCATCCAGGGTCTCTGCTACAGCTAAAGGTACCGGGGCTTCTGATAGGGAGGGGCAGCTGCCTGCCCCAACCCCTGACCCATGCCAGGATTTTTTTGTTAGCATGTGGGCATGTGCGTGTGTGTATGCATTGTTACCATCAACCAGAGGCGAAGGGTGGTAGTCATTATTTATGCCCCTGAACATCAGTGGAGGGATGCAGGCAAGGCTGATGAGTCAGATGCCTTCTATGACCTGTCACAGGGGCTAGCTAAAGTGGCCCATCAGGATAGAGGCATCCTGTTAGGTGACCTTAATGCCCGAGTTGATCATGCTGGCACCTGGTCTGGAGTGATTGGAAGGCATGGGCCAGATCAGCTCAATAACAACGTTCGGAGGTTGATAGACTTTTGTGCAGCGCATGGGCTTGTTATTATCAATACGCTGTTCCGGCATCGGCGCATCCACACAACATGGATGCACGCCGGGTCCAAGCAAGAACATCTGATAGACTACATAGTGATGGAACAGCGGATGCGGGCCCATGTCCTTGACACCGGACCCTACCGTGAAGCTGATCTGCCGACTGACCATTGGCTTGTGATCTGTAAGATGTGCCTGCCATTCTTCCACTCCATTGGTAGGTGTACACCCAGAACCCCATTCAAACCCACAGTGGCCTGTACTCGGCTAGCTAATGAAAGTAGCAAGCGAGAATTTCATCATCACTTGCAGCTTGGGTTGGCATCCTCTCCTTCTGATGCCGAGGGGAAATAGGCGAGGTTTAGGACTGTGGCTTATGCAGCTGCAATGGCTGCATTGGGTACCTGGTCCAGACCTCCCCAGAGACCCTGGCTGACAGACGAGGTGTTCAGGCTGGCTGAGAAAAAGTGACAGGCCCACTCTCATCGTCTACAGCATCCCACATCAGAGAATCAGGAGGCTTCCCGCAGCCTTCGCTTGGAGGTTCGGAGAGCTGTGAGGCACTGCAAGGATGAGTGGTGGTTGCGGGTTGCTGAGGAGATGGAGTCTGCCTCAGTAGCCCGCGATCACAATTCGCTCTTAACTCCATCAAAAAAGTAACTTGCAGCGCCACAACGATCACCATTAGGGAAAAAAAGGTGATCAAATATGGTGATCAAATATACGACACCCAGGAACAAGTTTGCAGATTTGCTGAGCATTTCTGTAAGGTCTTGTGGGGAGGAGAAATCCCTCAGCCTGGAAAACATCATTGGGCAAAGTGGGGATGACCCTGCTGAGGCTGCGGTGCCTCATATTGGAAGAATTAGTCACCCACTTTGAGTGGCTGGCTGAGGTGCCATCTGTTGAGGAAGTACAGACAGCGATCCAGAGTCTGAGACCAGGAAAGCACCGGGCAGAGATGATTTCCCAAGCAAAATGCTGAGGGAGGGTGGCGTTTGTGCAGACTGCCCTATACGACATCATAATAACATTGACTTAAAGCTTTTGTGACTGCAGGAATTCATACTCTTTGGGTCTTTCGGTAAAATCACTGAAAGACCCAAAGAGTATCATAATAACAGTTTGGACCACTGGACGGGTTCCGCAGGATTGGAAGGATGCCTTGGTAATCCCCCTCTTTACGAAGGGGGACCGCACAGAATGTAACTTCTACAGGGGCATCACCCTCCTCAGTGTGCCGGGAAAGGTCCTGGCAAGGATTATTCAACATCGCCTTGCCAGGCATGCTGAGGGAGAGGCTTGCGAAGCCCCAATGTGGTTTCAGGAAAGGGTGGTCCTGCACAGATACCATATTTTCTGTCTGTCTGCTACAGCAGAGGTGGACCTACATCTCTGCTTTATTGACCTGGCCAAGGCCTATGATACCATCAGCAGGCCTGGGCTCTGGGTTTTTCGTGCTTTCGGAGTTCCTGACTCAGCTCACAATCATTAAGGACCTTCATGATGGTGGGCTGCCCCGGGTAAAACTACATAATTAATAAAATCGTGACTTAAAGTTTTCGTGACTGCAGGAATTCATACTCTTTGGGTCTTTCGGTAAAGTCACGTAGATAGAAAAATAATTAAAACATCACGACGTTTCGATCGCAACACAAGCAATCGTCTTCAGGTGAAAAAATACAGCAGGTGGACTGCTGAGGTAGGAAGAAATGTAGCGAGAGAGCTACTGCAGCCATCGGTTATAAAGGTTTGAGATGGGTACAACCCAAGGGTAAGTGGGCGGGGCTAGAGATGGAATTTGCAAGTAAATGTAAGATCGTAGAGCTAGCTATACCTCGGCCATTGTATTGCTAGAGAATAGCATGTCAATCTGTTAATGTAACCCCACGGTTAGTGCTGAAGAAGCCATTGTATTACTCGGGATGAGAGATTAGCATGTCGATGTGAGACGGCTCCCGCAGCAGCGGCTGTGTTAATGAGACACATTCAGCCTATTAAACAACAAGAGCCACCACCGCATCGAGGAATAGGGAGCAGCAGCTATGTTAGTGAGACATTTAGCCTGTTAATGCAAAGACATTTAACAAGGTAATGTAACTCAGAAAGTCGGAAATAACTGTGAACATAGGCAGGTAGGATGGAAGCATCACAGCCAGTTAAGACTTTACCTGGTTAATAACGTCCTTTCAATGGTTGCTCAGTTTGTACCCATCTTCTCGTTGAAATTGTGTCTGTGTTTATATATCTGGATGGCTTCATGAACAAATATTTGTTGATAGCCAGTGGGTTTGCATAGTACCTTCGTCTTGGAGAAAGCAATTTCATGTGAGCCCACAACGTTAAAAAACAATGATCAGCCACGGCAGAGGTGTTGGTCCTACCATGTTTCAGATCCGCCTTGTGTTCGTGAACACGGTCTGAGACACGTCTCTTAGTTTCCCCAATGTAACTACTGCCGCAGACACAGCTTAGTTTGTAGACGCCAGGGTATTGCATGTCAGGGATCACATCCTTCACAGATGGGATCAGATCATGAATTTTATGAACTGTGTTGAATCGGACCTGAATCTTGTGTTTGCTCATGATTTTGGAAATATTTTTGGTAACCCCTGCTATGTATGGCAAGGTGATGGGTCCTCAGGTGGTTCTCTCCCAACGGTTGGGGTGACAGCTTTGCAGATTGTGTGATCCATTCATCTTGAGGGATTGGTGTACGTGCTCCAGTTCACTGGCTAGGTGGTGATGGTTGGAAATGCAACGAGGCCTATGGTGTAGAGTTTTCATGAGGGAATTTATTTTTTCTGGGCTGGATGGTAGTTGGAGTCAGGTTTTAGATAGGCATCCGTGTGGGTGGCTTTCCTGTAGAAAGAATGACCCAATGAGCCATCTGGTCTCTTTTCGATTAAAACATCCAAGAATGGTAACTTGCCATCCTTTTCCACCTCCATGGTGAATTTGATGGCTGGGTGTATACAATTGATGTGGTTGAATAATTGGTTCAGAGCTGGTAGGCCATGTGGCCAGATGACGAACGTGTCATCTTTGTACCTCTTCCACAAGGAAGGACGTAGGATGGATGTCTGGATGGCATCTGTCTCAAACTTTTCCATGAAAACATTGGCTACCACTGGAGATAAGGGAGAACCCATTGGGGGTACCTTCATCTTGTTTGTAGAATGTTCCATTCCAGGTGAAGTAAGTGTTGGTGAGGCAGTGTCTCACCAGAGCCGGTACATCAGCATTCAGTCCTTGTTGGACAAAATCTGCAATGATTGCAATGGTGTCAGGCACAGGAACTTTGGTAAACAAAGAAACTACATCGAAGTTGACAAGAAAATCATCTGGAGATAGTGAGATACAATGGCCGAGGTATAGCTAGCTCTGCAATCTTACATTTACTTGCAAATTCCATCTCTAGCCCCGCCCACTTACCCTTGGATTGTACCTATCTCAAACCTTTATAACCGATGGCTGCAGTAGCTCTCTCGCTACATTTCTTCCTGCCTCAGCAGTCCGCCTGCTGTATTTTTTCACCTGAAGACGATTGCTTGTGTTACGATCAAAACGTCGTGATTTTATTTTATTATTTTTCTATCTACGTGACTTTACCGAAAGACCCAAAGAGTAATATTCATAAAGCCTTTGATGGCTGTACCAGAGGAATTTCCATCTGGTAAAGAAACAATGGGAGGCTGATCAATACCCAGGTACTGTCAACGGATGACTCCCTATTAGTCATCCATGTTACGTATGCTGATGATATGGTGATTGCTGCTCACTCAGAGGAGGAGTTGGAAGTGCTGTTGCTGAACCTGGAGTGTGCCGCAGAATAGGTTGGGTCTTACCATGAGCCCCACCAAAACTATGCACCTGCCTGGGTATTTTGTGCTATCAAACACTCCACCCCCACATACATGGGCAATATAGCAGAATTATCTTTTCATAGGCTGCGTAACACTGTGTGGAAGCTACCTGGTCTGTCACTCCACACGAAGCTTCGGGTCTTCTCGGCCATGGTCATTCTCTCTCTTATCTATGCTTGCGAAACGTGGACCCCCTCATGGAACATCTTCACTGGTTAGAAACATTTAGGCTGGCCTGCCTGGGTTTAACCAGGCTGGATTGTGTGAGAAGCTCACAATTCCTTGAAAGATCAGGACAAAGTCCCATCCGTGAGCTCCTCCGACAGCCAAGGCTGCATTGGCTGGATCATGTAGCCCGCATGCTCAGCCACTACATGCCTAAACAGCTTTTCGGCCGGATTGAGGGGGCTGAGTGGACTTGCCGATTACTGGTACCATCGGTGTCAAGATCAGCCTCTGTGGAGGTGGCTCATGAAGGATGCTACTGGGCAGTTCGAGGCAGTCCTGCAGCAACAGCAGAGGGCAGAAGAGCGACGCTCACAACAATGAGCAGAGCGCCGGGTGGCTAAAGTGCAGCAACTTGGCACAGGAGGGAGCACAGGTGGTACATCAGCCAGTCATCTCAGTAAACCCATGGCACCTGGGTCTGTCCGGTGACCTTTACGTGTAGCCTGGCACAAGCGCCGTGGTGACGTCATCGCCACTTACTGGTGAATGGCGGTTGTTGTGTGTGTGCTTGTGCCTGTGGGGAGAAATAGTCTCGCAGTTGGCGCGCTTCACTACGAACCTGGCGACCCGTGATTGAGTCCTACTCGTGGCCATTACCGGTGACGATTATCTGAACCAGTCCTGGGCCTCCCCTGGTCCTCTCAGCCTAAAATGAGTACCTGGTGCAGTATGTAAACAACGGCCGGGCTTGGTGTTGGCCATCAACTCCTTCGTGTGCCATGCCGGCCTTTGAAGATGCTCGCTAACAGTGCTTGCCCCAACATTCTGTCAAGGCTATACCGGGGATCTTTGTGTGTATATGTGTGTTTTATGGAGAGTGGTAGTTAGCGTGCTGTGCTACAAATCCGGTGACCTGATTTAGATTCCCGCTCCCGGCCAACAACAGCGACCATTATCTGAACCGGTCCTGGGCCTCCCCTACGTCGGCTCAGCCTCAAATGAGTCCCTGGTGCGATGTGTAAACATCACACTAGGGAGACAAAGGCGGCCGGGCGTGGTGCTGGCCACCCACCTCCTCATGCGCTGTGCCGACCTCCGTAGGTGCTCGCTAAAAGCGCTTGCCCCAATAGTCTGTATATGCCACAGGGGGGGACTTTGTCTTTGTGTGCGCGTGATCCAGGCGAGAAGGGCAATCCTGGTTTGCCAGGGCCGAGCGGACAACCTGGTCAGCCTGGGTCTCCGGGGTCAAGAGGACGAGATGGGAACCCCGGGTTCCAGGGCCCCCCGGTGGGTTCCCCCTTCTTGCTGACTGAGGGTTGTGGTGAAGAGCTGGGTGGATCGGAGGGCGGAGCCGGCACCGTGGAGATCCTCGGTTCCACTATGGGTTTCAGCCCCAACCACAGCGATTACACTGGAGTCTCATCGGCTCACACAGAGACCTATTCACTCCCTTAGAGACCCATAGACTCACGTAGAAATGCATAAACCCACATAAAGACCCATAGACCCATATATAGGCCAGTAGACTCATATAGAGACCATAGACTCACATAGAGACCCAAAGACCCACATAGCGTGGAATGTCGTGCATGTCACCCGCGCGTGTAACATTGTGCGTGTCGTCCACACGTGTAACGTCGTGCGTGTCGTCCACACGTGTAACGTCATGCGTGTCGTCCACACGTGTAACATCGTGCGTGTCGTCCACACGTGTAACGTCGTGCGTGTCGTCCACACGTGTAACGTCATGCGTGTCGTCCACACGTGTAACGTCATGCGTGTCGTCCACACGTGTAACGTCATGCGTGTCGTCCACACGTGTAACATCGTGCGTGTCGTCCACACGTGTAACGTCATGCGTGTCGTCCACACGTGTAACGTCGTGCGTGTCGTCCACACGTGTAACATCATGCGTGTCGTCCACACGTGTAACGTCGTGCGTGTCGTCCACACGTGTAACATCGTGCGTGTCGTCCACACGTGTAACGTCATGCGTGTCGTCCACACGTGTAACGTTATGCATGTCGCCACGTTTCCATCTCTGCCGCAGGGAGACGCCGGCAGCAGCGTCCGGGGGGACATCGGCCCTCCTGGGAACCCCGGGCGCCTGGCCGCCCCGGGGCAGCCCGGTGCCCCGGGGATGGGGCTGGTCGGACTGCCGGGGGTTCAGGTACCTGGCGACCCTGGGATTCCAGGTCTGCCCGGCTTTCCCGGCGCACGGGGACCCCAAGGTACGGTCTCCCCCATAGCCCCGATAACGACGGCGATTATTCATGGTGATATAATGAGTGTGTGTGTGAGACGATAAACGATTAAACATTTTATTTCTATTTTACCAGGTAAGGCCCACTGAGCTATGCTGCTCTTTTACAGAAGCGACCTGGCTATCATAAATTATATTTCAATGAAGTGGCTTATAGCAGTCAAATACTCTTAAGCACATGTTTCTGAATGTGGAGTGAAAAACCGGAAGACCAGGAGAAAATTTCACGTGACCACGGGGAGAGAGACATGCAAACTCTAGATATACAGGTGTCAAGGTTGGGATCTAACCCACGACTACCTGTATACCAGGCGAGGTAGTTACAATCTCGCCACAAATAGAAGGGTGGCTCAGAGGTCAGATTTCCGAACGTGGTGAGTTTCATCCACCCAGCCACAGTGATTCGACTGCCCAGAAGTCGGGCCCTCTGGTGGACGATGGCTGCGTTTGCTTTACCAGACACCTGAAGTGCAGCGCGAGCGTCGAGCCCCGCTGTGCTCGACGGGATCGCCCCACGGGGCACCACGAGCGTGGTCACGAGCAGAGCACTCACGGCAGGCGGAGAGGGCACCCGAGGAGTTGCCATACCTGGGCCGCGAGCTAATGACCGGCTCCGGTTTAGCAGCGGAGGTCTCGCTCCTGAATCAGTCGGGCAGCATTATCTTTTCTTCGACTGCGTAATACTGTGTGGAAGCTACCTGGCCTGTGTCGCTCCACACAAAGCTCCCTGTTTTCTCAGCCAAAGTCATACCCTCCCTTCTCATGCTTGCGAAACATGGAGCTCTCTAAAGTAACATCTTTGCCAGTTTGAAACATTCAGGCTGGCCTGCCCACGATCCATCCTGGGCTTAATCAGGCTGGATTGTGTGAGGAGCTCACGAATCCTTGGAAGATCTGACAGAAGTCCCATCGGTGACATCCTCTGGCAAGGAAGGCTGCGTTGGCTGGGTCATGTAGCCCGCATGCCCTGCCACCGCATGCCTAAACAGCTTTTGTTCGGCTGGATAGAGGGGGCTAAATGGGCGCGGCACGGGCTAGAGAAGAGATGGAGTGACGTTGTACAAGAGGATGTGGAGCTGAGTGTGTAACACTGTGTGTGTGTAACTCTGTGTGTACAGGTGACACTTTGCCGTGTCCTGTGAAGGGAGAAGCCGGCCGATCGGGGCTGCCCGGATTACCGGGCCCAAGAGGTGACGGACACAGTCACTCACACCACCACTCTGTGTGTTCGTGTGTCTCTGTGTATATGTAGTGAGCGGTAATGCAGTGGTTAGTGCACCTCGCTATGAAACCGGCCATCTAAGTTGGATTCCCACTCACGACCAACTTTGGTGACGAATATCTGAATTGGTTCTGGGCCTTCCATAGCTTTACTAAGCCTCAAACGAGTACCTGGTGCAGTGTATAAACATCATCACTCATGAGACAAAGGCGGCCGGGCGTGGTGCTGGCCACCCACCCCTTCATGTGCTGTGCCGGCCTTCATAGGTGCCCGCTAACAGCACTTTCCCTAACAGCCTGTGTGGGCTACATGAGGGCTCTTTGAATGTTTGTGTTTGTGTGTCTGCACTTATGTTTGTGCATCTGTGGTTATGTTTTATTTATTTTTGTATGAGACTGCGTCTTGCCTTGTCTGTTTCCATGTCTCGCCGTGTCTGTTTCCATGTCTCGTCATGTCTGTGTTTATGTCCCGCCATGTCTGTGTTTATGTCTTGTCGTGCATTGTCGTTGACACCGTACCTCCTGTGCCTCGCCCCCCAGGACCCCCGGGGCTGGACGGATTCCGAGGGACCCCCGGGTTCCTGGGGACCCCGGGCCTCAAGGGGGACATGGGGGACCCTGGGGTCCCAGGAGTGGGGGGCACACAAGGTGAACGAACATAACCTCCCTACTGATGCTCAACACCACGAGGGAGGGTGGTGATGATGATAATGGTAGTGCTGCTGATGATAATGCTGATGGTGGTGGTGATGTGATAAAGATGATGATAGTGGTGCTGCTGCTAATGGTGGGGATGATACTGATGGTGATAGTGGTTGTGCTGACGGTGATGATGCTGATGATGATGATAGTGGTGGTGCTGCTTATGATGCTGATGATAGTGGTGGTGCTACTGCTAATGATGATGCTGATGACCTCACCCGCAGGCTTCCCTGGGCTCCGTGGGGACCCAGGGCTGCCAGGCTCCCCGGGGCGACCCGGAGCAGCAGGGTCACTGGGGCAGCCCGGCCGACCCGGGACTCCGGGAGGCAAGGGGCCCCCAGGGGATGTGCTGGGGGCCCGAGCCGGAGAGCCGGGGCCTTCAGGGCCCCCCGGGCCCCCCGGGGAGAAAGGGATTCCCGGGGACCGTGGCCGGGATGGGGAGAGAGGTGAGTTATATCCGTAACGATGGCGTCGATGGTGGCTGGTGGCGGCGAGCGAGGCGAGCGAGGAGATGAGCAGGGTAAGAGTGGTAAGCGGGGTGAGTGACGGTCCGCCCTGTATTCAGGCAGGGACGGACCGCTTGGCTTTCCCGGGGTCAAGGGCGATCGAGGGGTCGGCGGATTCCCCGGAAGCCCAGGGCCCGACGGAAGGCCAGGGCCCTCCTCGCCGGGGCCCGCAGGCCTTCCCGGGCCCCCGGGGTCTTCAGGCCGGCCCGGCCAGAATGGTGAGACCGGCAACATTCCAGCCACGCTCATTGATATCTCGGTCGTGGGCTTGATAGAAACCGGTGAGGTATCTACCAATGGATCGCCCTGTGGTTCCTTTCTCCCCCAGGCTTCCCTGGCTCCCCGGGGCCGCAGGGAGACCCCGGGCTCTCGGTGTCCGAGGGATACAAGGGGCTCGCCGGACCCCCCGGATTCCCCGGGCGGCCGGGACCTCCTGGACCCCCCGGGTCTCCGTCTTCTCTGGGCCGGGATGGGAACCCTGGGCAACCCGGCTTCCCCGGTGCGCCAGCCCCCCACCTTCCCCCGCAATCATCTTCGCGTCAGCCGAGCTATGGTCTCACAAGCTATGACAGGTTTTGACACGCTCGCTCGCTTGTCCATTGTGTCTGTGTGGTGCAGGCCCCAAAGGAGACCCCGGGATCCTAGGCTTCCCAGGCTCACCTGGGCCGATGGGACGCTCAGGGGAGCCCGGCCTGCGCGGCCCACAGGGTCAGAACGGAGCCGCGGGCCAGCCCGGGGCCCCAGGGGCCAACGGCAGGAAAGGTAATTGCAGCGGCCTTATACTTGAGGCTGTGGCCCAGGAGGCCAAGGCCGCGAGCTTTGTGGGTGGATGCCTGGTTGTTTTTCCTGGGACATCCTCTTGTTGAAGAGCAGGAGGCAGTTGCTGCCGTCTTAGAGAAATCTGCCGGTTTTCCCTGGGACATTAAACGTCCCGGTTTTTGTCGGTCAAGTGACCTGGATCTGAACTATTTGGTCGTGGGCCGCTTGCTCTACCGCTGAGCCACGTGGCCGGATAGGAGGCGGGAAACGTAAATTCCGCGCCACGTCGCCCGTGACCGGGACATGTGTGATGTAGACACCGAGTCACTGACTACGCGTGCAGGTGAGGGAGGAGACCTGGGGCAGCCCGGCCTCACTGTGGCCGGCCCTGACCTCCGCGGGCAGACAGGGGACCTGGGAGACACGGGGTTTCCTGGGACCCCGGGGTTCCCCGGTCGCGCAGGTAACCCGACCCTTTCCTACAATACCCCACGCTGCCTTCATCCATGCACATTGGGCCTTGGGGCTCCACCAAGGTCTGTAGAGACCCATATAGACCACTAGACTAGTATAGAGACTCATAGACTCCCATAGACACCGATAGACTGGTGTAGAGACTCATAGACTTCCTTAGAGATCCATAGATTGGTGTAGGGCCTCATAGACTCTCATAGAGGCCTATTTCTTGGTGTAGTGACTCATAGACTCCCATAGAGGATCAGAGAGTCGTATAGACTCTTAGATGCCATAGACTGGTGGAGAGATTCACAGACTAGATTCCTTAGAGACCTATAGACTGCCATAGAGACCCAAAGACTCATAGATACCCATAGACTCCCATAGAGACCCAAAGACTCATAGATACCCATAGACTCCCATAGAGACCCAAAGACTCATAGATACCCATAGACTCCCATAGAGACCCATGGACCCGGTGCCCTACACCAGTCCCCCTCAGGTCCCGTGCCCCTCCCCCCTCTCCGTCCTCACCGAGCCCCCTGACCTCACCCGTTGTCCAACCCGCCTCGTCCGTGACGACCGCCCCCACTACCCCCACCCCCCCCAAGTCAGCCATATGGGTGCGGCTTCCTCACTCCCTCGTGGACCCCCACCGTGAATGTAGCCCCCCCACCACCCCCACCGCCCCCACCGCCCCACCCCCCCCCACCGCCCCCACAGCTCCCACCGCCCCCACCCCCCCCACCGCCCCCACCCCCCCACCGCCCCCACCGCCCCCACCCCCCCCCCACCTCGACGTTGGTCGCTACAGACTCACGTGGAGACCCGTGGAGCTCCTGTCCCTGGATTTCTGCGCCAATCCGCCGGTGCTCGTCACGAACTCTCTCGTGGCAGCGCGCTACGTAGCCATCATCGCTTGTGACCTCTTTTTATAAGTGATTTGTCTACGTTTTCTAGACATTGTAAACCGCCTCTACTGTGAAAAACAAATATTTCCAGCTCATTGGATTCATCCAGTATAAATTACATACCTGCCAACCCATTTTCAGTACCTACCTTATTATGATCAATTCAGACCTTATTAGTCACCCCGTGCCCTTATAAATCTCAACGTTCATCCTACAGTCCCATCACAAGGGAAAAACACAAACAGACAAAAAAGTGTTTTCGTTGCCCGTATTGAAACGGCTGTCCGCCGTATGGTCCTGAAAACTCAATTTCCCTGTACAAGAACACGGGTAAACCGTACGGGCCGACAGGTATGAAAATATCACACCTCCGATGAGGACAGTTGGCTATATACGGCGCAAACAAAGTTCAACATCCACACAAAGATTTTGATTCTGATTCTGACCTTTACTGGTCGCAGAAAGGAATGGCGGCTCTCCTCTCATTGCCTCCGGGCCCCGTGGGTTCCCCGCATGTCCACAGGAGACCCGGGCCCCAACGGGAGACCAGGGGCCCCGGGTCGTCCCGGTTTCCCCGGCGCTCCCGGCTCCTTGCTGGGCCTCGTCGGAGACCCTGGGCTCCCCGGATTTGCCGGATTGGTGGGAGTCAAGGGCCGCGCTGGTTTTCCTGGACCCCCCGGATTCCCAGGATTTGTGGGACCCCCGGTAAGTCAGAAGTGGAAGGGGTTTAGGGGTTCGGGATTTCAGTGTGGAACCAGGTGTGTGTGCTCAAATACAAAGGGCCCCCGTGTAGCCTGTTGGGGCAAGTGCAGTTAGCGAGCACCTGTTAAAGCCAGCATGGCACATGAGATGTGGTGTGCCTGATACCACACCTGGCCGCTTTTTTATTTGTATCTGTGTATGTATATCTGATTGTATACGTGTGTGTGTACGTATGTTTGTGGGGAGCGGTGGCACAGCGATTCGCGCTGACAGCCAAAACCAGTGACAATTATTTGAACCGGTCCTGGGCCTCCCCTAGGGCGACTCAGCCTCAAATAAGTACCTGGTGCAATGTGTAAACATCGCCACTTGGGAGACAAAGGCGGCCGGCCGTTGTGCTGGCCACCCACCCCCTCGTGCACTTTGCTGGCCTTCATAGGTGCTCGCTAACAGCACTTGCCCCTAGAGTTTTTAAGGCTATATGGGGGATTTTTGTCTTTGTATGTATGTGTGAGAAGTGGGGCAGCGGTTAGCGCGCTGCTCTTCAAACCCGACAACCCGGGTTCGATTTACGCTCACGGTCCTCACCAGTGACGATTATCTGAACCGGTCCTGGGCCTCCCTGAGATTGACTCAGCCTGAAATGAGTACCTGGTGCGATGCGTAAACATCGCCACTTTGAAGACGAAGGCAGTCGGGCGTGGTGCTGGCCACCCACTCCCTCGTGTGCTGTGCCGGCCTTTATCGGCGCTGCTCGCTAACGGCACTTGCCCCAACAGTCTGTTAAGGCTACACGGCGGATCTTTGTCTTTGTGTGCAGGGAAGTGACGGCTTCCCAGGGCGCCCAGGAGACCCCGGCGGTGCTGGATTCCGCGGCGCTAAAGGTGACTTTGGTTTGACTCGTTGCTCACCCACAAATTAAACTAAACTTAAAATATGAGAATAGGTTTTCCCCTTTTTTCTGGCAACAAAACAGGTGTTAATATATACTCCTTGGGTCTTTCGGTAAAGTCACATCGATAGAAAAATAATAGATCACGATGTTTCGATCGCAACACAGGCAATCGTCTTCAGGTGAGAGAGAAAAAGCTCCTGAAACAAGGCCTGAGATGGGAGTGCCCTCGGGGTGAGAGGGCGTGGCTAGAGATGGTTTCCATGGTGCTGTGGAAGTGGCCATTGTGATGTGAGAGATTAGCATGCCAATGATGCATCGGTAGCCGATCGAGTAGGACATCCAGCCTGTCAATAGAAAGACATCCAACCTAGTAATGCAACTCAGAGTCAGCTAACATCGGCAGGAAGGATGGAAACATCCACAGCAGGTTAAGACTTTACCTGGTTAATCACGTCCTTCCAATGATGTGGTGTTTTAACATCTTAACACCTTGACTTAAAGCTTTCGTGGTTGCAGGAATTCATACTCTTAACACCTGTTTTGTTGCCAGAAAAAAGGGGAAACCCTATTCTCATATTTTGGTAATGGCAAAGGAGGTTCCATGATGTGTCAGGGTCTGGATCTAACCCACAACCTCCTGTAGATCAGGGGAGGTAGTTAATATATCGCCACAGTGGCAGGTCCATCGACGCTCCGGTGCGATGTTGTTGATGTTGCTGATCATCTTATTTTCGTTTATTCAGGAGAACCGGGAGATGCCCGGGGTCAGCCGGGCCCCCCAGGCTTCAAGGGCGAGGCAGGGACACCAGGGTTGCCTGGTGAGATGACCCGCAGCTCCCCCCTTGATCCTCATTACCCCAGAGAGAAAGAGGGAGCTGATTCACAGACCGAGTCAGGGCCTGGCGGAAAGACAATCCCTCAACGAAGAAGCCGTCTGTAACATTCAGTTTTTTTAAGTCAGAGGAGCCGGGTTTGCATGGGTCGGTGATCTGGAATATATATGCACACCCTGCACAGCACGTCCAGTGCACCCAGCGTGCCTGCGCTGGGCTAAATGTGAACACACGGCAACACCGACCCCCCCCCCCACTCCATCACGTGTGTCACTGCAAGTCACGGGCTGTGTGGAACGAGGTAGCGGCTTGCATCTGGCCCGCGGACGGGGAGGGTCCTCCAATCGTGGAGCAGAAACAGCCCGACTGATCCGTATTAGGATTTTCAAATGTCTTCCGATTCTCCTCTACCCCCCACCTCCTCTCCCCCGATGTGATCTTGACGTAGGGGCCCCGGGCGAGGCTGGGTTTCCCGGGGAGCCTGGGCCCCCTGGTTTCCCGGGTGGATCTGGACCAAGTGGTTTCCGTGGCGACGCCGGATCCCCCGGTTTTCCAGGTACTGCCACGCACAGTGTCCCCATGCGACCGCATCTCACGACGCTGCACAAACGCAGCGGCCTGGTCATGGAGAGAAAGGCAGTGAGTCATAGGTGTCCAAGTGAGCCTATGGGCTTCTGTGTGAGTCTATGGGAGAGGGAGGCAGTTCAGTTCAGTTTATTTTTAATTACCCTGTGAGCCAATACGCTTTTAAATCGGGTTTCATCAGCAAAAAACAACAACACCGCTTCCCCAACATCCACGCAAGTCACAGTAAAAGAAATTAATAAACACTAACAGATAAGCTAAATTTAAAAAAATAGATAGCAAATCATAATCGCAATATAAAAATTTCCTTTTTTTATATTAAAAAAGAAGTAAAATATAAATTATTATCAAAATAGCATGTTTTATCTCTAAAAAAAGACTCAATTAAAATCTGACATTAATTGTAATGCAGATACGGCCTAAACGACTATGGAATTATAGTGAAGAATAAAAAACACACAGCATCCATAAAAATACGTAGTGTAAACAATGCGCTAAAGTGGTCGCTGACAGGCAATTAGTGTTTGTAACTCGTCTAACTATTTATACATCGGCAGCTGGGCACAAATTCACATAAAAGTAGTGATTTAAAGTGAGTGATCGATGTAGACAAAGTTTTGTTGCAATATTCCACAGATTAGGAGCAGCCACTGTAAACGCTCGTTCATCAAAACTTGTTTTATGTCTGGGAACGTTCAATCGAAGGATTGATGAACTCCTCAGGTTAGCTCTGCCCTCCTAATGCGTCAACAAATCCAATACATTTTCTGATTAATTACCACTAAGAATATTGTACATAACGCCTAGTGAATCGTTTTGTGAGTTATAGGTATCTATGTGAGCCTATGGGCCTGCGTGTGACTCTGTGGGTCTCTGTGTGTTTCTATGGAAGAGGGAGGTCGTGAGTTTTAGGCAGAGGAGAAGAGGGAGGTTTTCAGCATGAACTTAAACAGGGGCAGGGAGTTGGCAGTATGGGTGGCAGGGGGAGGTCAGTTCCTGACTATGTGGGCAGCAGGGGAGAATGAGCGACATTCTATTCGGTGAGAGCCTTAGACTTACACGTAGATGATTATGATGATCTTGATGTTGACGATGTTGATGATGTTGTTGCTGTTGTCTTCAGGAGGTCCGGGTTCCCTGGGTGACGTTGGGGATCGAGGCCCCGATGGGTTTAACGGCCTCCCTGGGCCCCTTGGCCCCCCCGGTCCGAGTGGGCCCCCCGGCTCCCCAGGTGCGTGTGTTTGCGCGTGCGTGGACGCGCGCGTGCGTTTGTGTGTGTGCTTATGTGTTTATGTTATGTATGCTCATTATCTGGTGGTTGCAGCACACTCTGAGAAGGAGTTGTAGGTGCTGCTGCTGCTGAACTTGGAGCTTGCCACTAAGACGTGGGGCCTTGCCATCAGCCCCACCAAAACTAAGCACCTGCCTGGGTATTTTTTATCATCCAATACTCCACCCCCTCAACTCCCAATGAGTGATGGGGCAGTTATGGAGAGAGTGGAGAAGTTTACATACTTGTGCAGTGTGCTTATGACCAACGCTGGTGTGGTAGCAAAGGTCTCGAGCGGCATCTTTTCATCAGCTGCGGAACGCTGTGTGGAAGCTACCTGGTGTGTTGCTCTACACGAAACTTCAGGTCTTCTTAGCCACAGACATGCCCTCCTTTCCCTTTGCAAAACATGGATCCTTCTAATGGAATATCTGCGCCGGTTTGAAACTTTGAGGCTGGCCTTCCTATAACCCATCCATAGTTTAACCAGGCTGGATTTTGTGTGGAGCTCACAAATCCTTAAAAGATCTGGATATATCCCAGTCCGTGACCTCCTCTGGCGAGCAACGCTACATTGGCTGGGTTAGCTTCTGTTTGGCTGCATAGAGGGGGCTAAATGGGTGCAACATGGGCTGGAGAAGAGATGGATTGATACGGTGCAGGAGGATGTGGATCTGAGTGGAATTGCCAAAGACTGGTACCAGCGGTGTCAAGATCGGCCTCTTTGGAGGAGGTTCATGAAGGACTCCTTCCAACAACAGCGGAGGACATAGGAGTGATGCTCACAACGAGTGGAATGCCGGGCGGCTAAAATACAGCAAGTTTACACAGTAGGAGACACAGGTGGTGCATCGGCCAGTCGTCTCAGTCAGTGTGTGAGCAGCGATCACATGTGTGTGTGTGAGCAGGGTTTGCTGGGAGCCCCGGGCTCACCGGACTGGACGGGCTACCAGGAGGCAAAGGCCCCCCCGGCCCTCCCGGTAAAACACGGACCCCCCCCCCCCCACTACTTCTCCTACACGGACCCCCCACTGCCTGCCTCTCATCCAGTTTCTGCTCAGTTGTCTCTACTCTGGAAACAGCTGCACGGGGCAGAGGGAGGGCCGTCACCTCGCAGTGGTTTGCGGAGCCTCAAGGAGTGGAGGAAGTATCCACCCTCCGCTGTGTTTGTGTGTGCTGTAGGTGTGGGGGTGCCGGGTCCCTTGGGGCCCCCAGGACGGGATGGCTCACCTGGGACCCCCGGAACGTCTTTTCCAGGGTCGCCGGGGGAACCTGGGGGGCCTGGGTTGCCAGGAGATACTGGTGAGTGTGAGAGGGAGTGAGAGAGGGAGTGCGTGTGAGGGAGTGAGTGTGAGCGTGAGTGTGTGAGAGAGAGTGTGAGACTATACGTGTGTGTGTTCATGTGTGTGAGCGGTGACACAGTGATTAGTGCACTACACTACGAATGTGGCGACCCGAGTTAGGAGGATTATCTGAACTAATTCTGGGCATCTCCGAGGTAGACTCAGCCTTAAATGAGTAGCTGGTGAAGCATTAGGTACTGTTGAGAAAAAGGCAGCTAACCACCACTTCGTGTGCCAATGCCAGCCTTCATAGGTGCTCGCTAACAGCCCTTGCCCCATCAGTCTGTTCAAGGCTATAGGGGAGATCTTTTTCTTTGTGCGTACGCCATGCTGCTGCTGCACTCAGGGTGAATCACGTGTTGTCCTCCGTGCCATGTGTGGGGTGTGAACTCAGGATTCCCTGGGTTTCCTGGAGTGCCGGGACCCCCTGGGGAGAGGGGCCCTGTGGTGGGACCCCTTCCCGGGGAGCGCGGGACCCCGGGGTTCCCGGGGAGGGATGGGGAGCCAGGTAAGCAGAGACATGTGGGACCCGTGAGAGAGAGTGATGTCACCACGTCGTCGTCGTCATCATCGTCATCATGTTGTCATCTTGTCATGTTGTCATCTTGTCATCGTCATCAGAGCCACCACCATCATCAACATCATCATCACCTGCTTCGTCATCATGCTTATCATCATCATCACTGCCATCATGTTCATCAACACCGTCATCAATGCAACTACCCGTATCATCACCACCCCCCCCCCTTCTCCTCCGCCCCCCTCTCTGTTCCTGCAGGGCGGCCTGGGTCCCCTGGCCGCCCGGGTGCTTTGGGACCCTCAGGGCCCAGGGGGAAGCCCGGCTTCTCTGGGGGCCCCGGAGGAAGTGGGGGCCCGGGGCTTGATGGAGATGCCGGAGCTCCTGGGACACCCGGCAGCCCTGGCTCCTCCGGATACAAAGGTCGGGTAGTGGTGGTGATGGCGGTGATGGTGATTACGATGGCAGTGATTTCAGTGATGATGCTGCCGTAGCTGATGATGGTACTTGTGATTATTACGATGATTGCGCTCATGATGATTATGATACTGATGGTTACAATGATGCTATTGCTGACGATGATGATGCAGCCACTGCTGACGATGCTGATGATGAAAGTTCTGATGATGATGCTGCTGCTATTGCTGATGATGGTGATAATGATGATTAAAATGCTGATGATGATGACCAGGCGGCCGTGGAGATCCTGGCGGACTGGGATTCCCCGGGCAGGAAGGCTTCCCCGGCGACCCTGGGTATCCTGGAGAGCAGGGAGACTCGGGATGGCCAGGTGCTGACTCCCCCACCTCTACCCTCTCCGCACCCCCCCCCCCATTCCCCCGCTCCCGCTTCTCCCCCCCCGAGTGACGGGAAGAGACTCGTGGTCGACTACCATTTCTGCGACTGACTTCATCCACGTATCGAACCCCCTTGGACCCCCGCTAACGACCCCGCTCCCCTGGGTGTGGCGCGCAGGCTCACAGGGCCCACCCGGGGCCCTTGGCCTGCCGGGCCCACAGGTGGACTTCACCGGCCTGAGGGGAGCGCCGGGGCCCATCGGCCCTCCTGGGGAGCTGGGACTGGCCGGGCCGCCCGGTCCCCCGGGCCCCCAGGGATTCCCAGGTACACGTGCGGGGGGGGGGGGAAGGGGATGAATAGGATGGGGTGGGGGGTAGCCCCCCCGGTTCACGTTTAAATTAAACTTTAGAAAAGTACTAAACTAGAATAGTTTTTATTTTACTGAGCTATGTAGCCCGTTTCCATAAGCGACCTCGTTTAGCACAAATGATATCTCACCAAAGTGGCTTATCACGTGAACATGTATAGCAGTCAAATACTCCAAACGCGTGATGTTGATTCTAAGGGAAAAACCAGAGGACCCGGAGAAAAATCCATGCGACCACGGGGAGAGAGAGAGACGCAGACTCCAAATATACAGGTCTCGGGGTCAGGATCGAACCCACGACCTCCTGTCTACCCGGTGAGGTAGTTAACATCTCCTCGCCACCACGGTGCTCCGTAGTCAGCAGCGTCGTCACCACCGTCACCGGTGCCCAGCGCCATCACCGGTGCCCAGCGCCATCACCGGTGCCCAGCGCCCGCCTGCTCCGACGAGCATCGAGGCAGCGGCACTCGCCTCCTGTTCACAGCCCAGCTGAGCAGCAGTGGAGGAAATTCCAAGTTCTTATGATGGGGAGGAAGTTTATCCGTAGGGGAAGAGCTTTTGACTCTCTCACTAAGTAGTACGAATTTTCATGGCCCTGGATGGTTGATGGGCTGAGTCCGTGAGCACCACTTTGTGTGGCGGTCAACAGATGTTGTCCTATAGATAGACTCGACCCTGCCATAGGAATGTGGAATTGACACCACTGGCTCAGTAGGGCTGTTAACAGGAGATGAGCAACAATTTCTCACTGCTCATTTGAGCACAGGCGGACAACACACGTGGACGATACACGTGGACAACGCACATGGATAATACACATGGACGATACACTGAGACAATACACTGAGACAATACACTGAGATGATACACTCGGACGATACTCACAGACGATACACTCGAATGATACACGTGGACAATACACGGGGACGATACACTCAAACGATACACTCGGATGATACTCACGGACGATACACTGAGATGATACACTGAGACAATACACTGAGATGATACACTCGGACGATACTCACAGACGATACACTCGAATGATACACGTGGACAATACACGGGGACGATACACTCAAACGATACACTCGAATGATACACCCGGACGATACACGAGGACTATACTCAGGGACTATATACGTGGATGATAGACGTGGACAATACTCACGGACGATACACGCGGACGTTACTGACAACCAGCATATGCAGGCAAACAAGAACACACAACAGACATGTGTTTGATACTCCTCTTTTGTCAACTTCATTTGATGACAAGGACCACGAAGATGATGATAATGTTGATGATGATGACGAGTATGATAGTGATGATGACGAGTATGATGATGATGATGATGTTGACGAGTATGATGACAACTACAATGATGGTGATGTTCCTAGGAGGCAGTGGGTCTCCGGGGCGTCCAGGGAAACAGGGAACCGACGGGTTCCCTGGCAGGAAGGGGGCAGCAGGGGAGCCGGGCCCAGCAGGGCCCCTGGGGCCCTCGGGACTCCCAGGTGGGTGCACGGCTGCACCATGCACACACGCATCATTGCGTACGCGCGTCATCACCTACGTTACCGTGTACGCGCGTCATCGTGTATATCATCACGTACACGCATCATCGCGTATGTTGTCGTGTACGTGCGTCATCGTGTATATCATCACGTACGCCATCACGTATGCGCGTCATCACGTACGCCATCACGTACGCGCGTCATCACGTACGTTAGCGTGTACGAGCGTCATCATGTATATCATCACGTACGCGCGTCATCGCGTATGTCGCGTTGTTGTATATGTGCCTTTTTCCAAAAAATTATATTAAGAAGTATTATATATTCTTGGTTCTTTCGTTATAAAAAAATATATTTTACATTTAAATAATAAATATAAAATCTTAGGATTGAACCACTTCTACGGGGAAGTTTTTTAAGTTTATCTTTTTCTCTCTCTCTGGGTTTTTTTTTCTCTCTCTGCCTGTGTATTTAGTGTACTTTTTCTGTCTCTACTCGTTTTTTGTCATTCTTATGCTCTGCTCTGTCTGTGTGTCTCCGTTCCTTGTGTTTTATGTTTTGTCTCTCTTTGGAAATTTCACACTTATATTCTAACTTAGCAATCTTTGAAATACGTAATCGACTAGGCTATGCGTTAATTGTGTTTTGACGGACTCTCTGTGTTGCATTACATAACATTTCGATATTTTGCTAGGTTATTTAATTTAGTGTATCTTTCTCCCGTTCTCCTAATTTTCAAGCTTGCGTACTTTACCACGCGTCATTCTTACTCATTGACATGCCAATTTTTTCTCTAACCCCTCCCTCTCTCCGCTCCCGCCCCCCTCTCGCTATTTAAGGCCTCGTCACAGAGACGATCTCTCTCTGTGTGCCTATGTGTTGCTCTCTCTCTATGTATCTTGGTGATATCTGTCTGCTTATATGTCTGTCTATAGTTTTCTGGTTAGATTTTGTTGCTATTTCATTTATACCTGATGATGATTGCTTGTGTTGCAATTGAAACGTCGTATGCTATTATTTATTTTATCTTTATACGTGACTTTACCGAAAGAACCAAAGAGTAATTCCTGCAGTTACGAAAGCTCCTAATTAAGATTGATTTAGCTTCATTAATTGAACAGACAAACGGTTTTCCTTAAACCCTTCTGCTGCTAGACCACCCAGACTATATGGCTTACCAAAAATCTATAAAGAAGGGGACACTCTTCGTCCCATCGTCTCCACCATTGGCTCACCCACCTACAAGCTGCCCGATATCTGTCAGAGAACTTGCAGCCATTCACTGGTAAGACCACCTCTTCTGTACTTAGCTCAGCTCACCCGGTTTCATCATTTAAAGACATCTCACTGTCCCCAGGTGATTTGCTCGTTAGTTTCGATGTAGTTTCTTTGTTCACCAAAATTCCTGTGCCCGATACCATTGCAAGAATTGAAGATTTGGTCCAACAAGGACTGAATGCTGATGTACCGGCCCTGGTGAGACACTGCCTCACCAATACATACTTCACTTGGAATGGAACATTCTACAAACAAACTGAAGGCACCCCCAAGGGGTTCTCCATTATCTCCGGTAGTGGCTAACATTTTCATGGAAATATTTTAGACGGACGCCATCCAGACATCCACTCTACACCTGTCCTTGTGGAAGAGGCACGTGGATGACACGTTTGTCATTGGGCCACATGGCCGACCGGCTCTGAAACAATTCCTCAACCACATCAATTCCATACACCCAGCAATCAAATTCACCATGGAGGTATAAAAGGATGGCATGCTACCCTTCTTGGATGTCTTAATCAAAAAGAGAACAGGATGGCTCAATGAGCCACTCTGTCTACAGGAAAGTAGCCCATACTGACGCCTATCTAAAACCTGACTCCCACCACCATCCATCCCAGAAGAATTCCATCATCAAAACTCGACACCATAGAGCTCGATGTACTTCCGACCATCATCACTACACAATCCGTGAATCTATCACCCCAACCGTTGGGAAAGAACCATCTGAGGACCCAATCAAAACCATCACCTTGCCATACATAGCAGAGGTCACTAAAAAGATTGCCAAAATTTTGAACAAACACAAGATCCAGGTCCGATCTAACACAGTGCATAAAATTTGTGACCTGATCCCATTTGTGAAGGACAAGATTCCTGACATGCAATATCCTGGCGTCTACAAACTAAGTTGTATCTGCGGCAGCAGTTACATTGGGGAAACTAAACGACATGTCTCGGACCGTATTCCTGAACATAAGGCAGATCTGAAACACGGCAGGACCAATACTTCTGCCGTGGCTGATCATTACTTTAATGCGGCTGGCTCACATGAAGTTGATTTCTCTAAGATGATGGTACTTTGCAAGCCGACTGGCTATCAACAAAGATTCAATGTCATCAACCACTTTGGGTCATGACTTGATTTGTGTTTTCTTGTCAACCTCCACCATCAGCAGTATGGATGTGTGTAGCGAGGTGCAATGCCCCCCCCCATCTCTAACCCCCCCTCTCCCCCCCTATCTCTGCCCCCCCTCTCTCTCCCCCCCTGTCTCTGCCCCCGCTCTCTCTCTCTCCCCCTGTCTCTGCCCCCCTTTCTCCCCCCCATTGTCTGCTCCTGCATTAGCGCTGGCTGACTGGCTGCCCCGCCCATGCTGTTTGCGCTGCACAAGCTCACCACCTCCTCCTCCCAACTCCCCCATTGTTCTGCTTCTGCATTCGCGTGTTGCTTGTGTAGTGGTGGTATTGACGTGCGCCGGGAGTGATGGATCACGGGGCGCGGGGTTGGGCACGCGGTGTGGGCGTGGCAGGGACGCGCGCGCCGGTGGTGAGGCGCGCTCACACAAGCTGGGAAAAGAGGATCGTAGCGAGTGCGCAGTGATTGGTCAGATAAGTGAGTACTCTCAGCGACGTCCGCAGGAGGGGTATAAAGGGGGACGCGCGAGAGCACTCGTGGTCAGTGTTAACCAGTTGAAGACCGAAGACGGGGTGGAGGAGGTAGGGGCCCTGTGTGGCTCGGAGCCGAGACTGGGGGGACCGTAGTCCGACGCCCGTGTGGGTCGGGACGGTGGTACCCAGAGCCGAGACGGGCACCCCGGCTGGGTGTGTCCCGGAAGGCTACAGGGCGTAAGAGCCCGTGTCAGTACAGCTGAGTGGGTGTTGGTCACCCGTGTAGCTGAGTGGGTGTTAGTCACCCGTGTAGCTGAGTGGGTGTTGGTCACCCGTGTAGCTGAGTGGGTGTTAGTCACCCGTGTAGCTGAGTGGGTGTTGGTCACCCGTGTAGCTGAGTGGGTGTTGGTCACCCGTGTAGCTGAGTGGGTGTTGGTCACCCGTGTAACGAAGTTGTAGTTGAGTGGGTGTCCGTCACCCGTGTAGCTAAGTGGGTGTTGGTCACCCGTGTAACGAAGTAGGGTGTTAGTCATCCGTGTAACTACAAGTTGGTGAAAATAAAGAGTGTGCTACCCGTGAAGTCGTCTCCTGCCGAGTTACTACTTTACAACTGGCGTCAGAAGTAAACCTGTCTTCAAGGAGAATGGACACAAGGAAGACTTCTCGTTCCCACGTGCAAGACCGGGGAGACGACGACGTACCGGTGACACCACCCTCGGGAGGAGAAGACGAGGAGTTGCCGCCGATGCAGCACTTTGCGGAAATGGCCGATGCTCCGCCCGCCTCCGACACCAGCCTGCAGGACGCACACTCCCGCCTGGCGGAGTTGCTGCTCGCCGCCGCTGCGATCTTGGCGGAGATCTCCGTTCCAGCGGCCGGTGGAACGCCTGCGGGGTTGGAAGAGGCGGTGCGGCTGGAGGGTTCCCGCCATAAGGCGTTTCGCGCCAAAAGTTTGGGAGTTGGCGCCATTTTTGAGGGTCCGCCTCCGGTTGGCGGGAAACGCGGACACCACGTGGCCAGAGGTCTCCACACAGCGCAGCCCGCGTCATCGGCGAGCGCCGGAGCTCTCCATTTTGCGCCTGCAGAGGGAGCCGACATTTTCTACAACCACAGCAGCGCGCGGGAAAATCGTTCCAACGACGACGACGACGATCGAGTTCTCCAGCAACGATTGCCCGCGCTGTCGGTGTTCAAGGCGGACGGGGGCGACTGGGGAGCCTTCCAGCGACGGTTCATCGCGCATCAAGAAATGTCGGGGTGGTCCGACACCACGGCCCTGCGCGCGCTGCCAGCGATGCTCGACGACGACGCGCTTGCGGCCTTCACGTCTGCCCCGAGGTCGTCCCGCTCAACGCTCCAGGCCGCGCTGCACCTGTTGGCCAAGGTGTTCGGGCCGCCCTCGACCTGTCGCCACCAGTTCTACGATCGGCGGAAGGTGGTTGGAGAAACAACGCTCGCCTATCGCACGGCGCTGCTCGCCCTGGCGGATTCAGCTTTTCCCCGCATGGACAAGGAGGGGAAGGACGCCATGGTGACGGAGCAGCTGCTGGCGCTGGCCCACGGATTGGGAGTTCCCATTAATGCGGCGGACGAGATGGACATCTGCTCCCTGGGGATTGCCACGAGTATCCACGCTTACGAGGTCCTACAGCGGAAGCCGACGGTCGTCTGCGCATCGGTGGAGAACGGGGCACCGGCCGCCACGATCAGCGGACCCCAGCCTGCTGTGCCTCGGGAGGAGGCCTTCGCTGGTTCGAGGCCGGGGGAGTGGAGACCGGGAGGTCGTTCGCCCACACGCTCCTCCCGCAAGCTGGAGCAACCGAAACCTACGACGTCCCTCGTCGTCTGCTACAACTGCGGCCTTCGGGGCCACGTCGCGGCCGGGTGCCGGGCCCCGCGTCAACGCACCGCGGGACCACGTCCGGACGACGACCAGGGACTCAAGACATCCCAACTGAACCCGGCAAGTCGCGGCACCTCACACGCTCGGTCCACACGCACGGCACGTTCGGATCGCCGCTTAGCGGTGGGGGGACCGTGTATGGGCGCCGGGGGTTCGGTTCGGCGAGAGGGGTCCGCGTACGGCCCGAAGGCAGTCGAGTGGTCCGAATTGG